TTGTTTTAGACATCATAAAACAGATGCGCAGGGAAGAAAAGACTGGTCACACAGCAAGTCCATTACAGAGGAAGGAATAAAATCCATATCTGTTAAGTGTAGATTCTTATGCTCTATACATTTTTCATATCTACTATTAATTTTGTAGTTCTCAAATTGATCTACAAGTCAACTGCAAGCTTTCTGGCAGTTTACAGAACAAAATATTTCATGTTCACAGACCCAAACTACATTAACAACAGGATTCAGATATTTAGACAAGGGATAACTTCTGACAAGTTTAATCTTACAAAGTGTCCTAAAGAAGTAAAAATGTTAGTTACTAGAAGGCAATGTAAATGGTGCCTATAACTTAGACATGAGTTCTAGAATGGAGTCAGGCCTGTTACTGATACTAATTTACGTTCCCCAGTAACACCCACTGAACATTTATGCCTTGAACAGGATGTCTTCTGTCCTTGTTTGTCACTGTTCACAAAACAGATAAAGGCAAAGTTTTGGTGATACAAGAATATTTTCTCTGTTATTTAAACAGATATCATACCTGCAGTAAAACTGACTATCCGAAGACTCTGCTCTTTGAGCACCCAGATCTAAAAACAGAGAAGCCCTTAACACCTTCAAAGGTATTAATATTGAAGATGGCATAGTAAGTCCTATCTGCAAGATGTGGGTCACTTACCCTAATTTGTGAAGCAACTCGAGATCTTCCAAAGCAAAGGTGCTGTATTCAAAGTATTGTTTACCCCTATTGATAACCTAGAGTGAGAAAGGATGTGGAGAGAAAAAGAGAGGCACAAGAGAAGCATTAGCCCGCTGAGACAGTTTTCAGTTCGTCTATATAGGCGTTCGCTGCAACGTCTAATTACCCAGCGATGAAAGTAACTGACGACTACCTAGGGACCAGCACCCGAGGGTCTCTCAGTCACCTGGGGTGCCGGACACGAGCAAAGCCAACAGCTTCACTCCCTCATCTGGCAAATCGCTGGGCACAGCAAACAGAGCCTAGAGGTCCCCCACCACCGAGTGCAGCTGAGGCGGCCGGCGGGGCTCCCTGAGAAGGGGTGAAGGCAAGGAACACCCCGCCCCGGCCGGCTGGAGAGAAGGAGAATCCTGCCTCCTCAGCGGCTCGCCGCCCGGCTCTGGGGCCCGTTGCCCTTGGCGAGGAGCCGCTTCGCTTCTCTCCACCCACACCGGCTCCTCGCGTGCGGCTACCGCTGCTTTCCCTCGCTTGGGTTTGAACTACCCGCCCTCACCAACCGCTGCCGCACTGCCTCCCCCGCCCCCTCCGCGCTGCGGCCCTCAGGAGAGCGGCGCCGCCCTAGGGCGAGGGCAAGGCGTCGGCGGGGTGGAAGCCTGAGGAGAACTGTTCCGCCGAACGGGAGAGCCCGCTCCTCCGGGACACGAGAAGATACCGGCAAGGCTCGCCTTTCTCCTCACGCTTTCTACTTCAGCCCTGCGGCCACCCCCGCCCCACCCAGCCCACCATTAAAAGCGCCCCTGCGTCCTTCCTCCCTCCCGCTCTGCTTCCTCTCAGGTGCCTGGCGAGGGTGAGGTTTTCCCGCCTCGGTGAGAGACCGCTCAGCTCCCTGCTGGGGGCGCCCAGGGCTTGAGGGGTGGCTTCAGAGGCGCTGGTCGATCACGGCCAGCCAGAGGCTTTCACAGATAACGAGCCTTATCTGCGCCACAACCTTTAAGCTTGGGTTATAAAGGTGCCAATTAATTCGAGTTGATCGGTACATTTGTACCCGACGGCCCGGGAACAAAACAGTCGCAGAGGGTTTGTCAAGTGCCATCTCCTTTAAATCAGCTGCTGGTCGGGCGGGAGATGCCCCGTGATATCGCCTAGTTTTTGTTGTGGTTTTAGTTAATCTGTATATTAAAAAAAAAAAAAAGCCAAACCACGAATACTTGGGTGCCTGTTTTTCCTGAGCTCGGTAAGGATAACGTGGGGTTACCCACGCTCACCTACCTGCTGGCTTCAGGCAGGCGGGGGGAGCTGCCGGCGGCGGGGCACTGGCAGGCCTCGCAGCCACCGCCCCGGGGTGAAGCAGGTGCTTGCTACGCAGGGACATAGGAAAGGCCGAATAAATCATCGTTGTGTTCTCCTCCTGCTGGGTATTGCTCTCCTTCACCTCACTAATACAACATTTACCCCCGGTTATTTCTAATTTTTCTGGTTCTTTCTCTGTTTACACTTCATTTTTCTTCCTCCACCAGAACAATGTCAGATCTGAACGACAGATGTAAAACTGTCATTTGTGACTCTAAAAGCAACACCTACGTTTAAAGAAGCAAAGCAGAGGCTTTCCAGAGAAACGCTGACATTAAGTAACGTAATTCCTGTACATGAGGTTTGGCAAGTTTGCAGCCTTCCCCTTTGGCAACGTCCAGTCCTCTAGCCTTGCAAAGCCGACCCGGCGGGTGGGCAGCGGGCAGAGGCGCCTGGCAGGCTGAGAGGGGCCTGAGGAAACACGGATTTTAAAGTTACCTCTCCAGAGCCGGGGGAAACTGTGACGTTTTTAGATAAAGAATATTGTTTTGTGTTATGGATAAAAAGAGAAAGGCTCTTGGGGTATCTCCCCCTTCCTTTTTAGAAGGAGAAATCATTAGAAGCTTTATGGAATCAAATACAAGTTTTCCAAAAGTGCTTTCTGTAGTATCGTCTATTTCACGTGAATCAGAATAAATTATTTTTCAAATAGCTGTATGTATTTATAAAATAAATTACCTTTTCTGTGAAATTGGCAGCTTGCTAGCTCCTTAAAGCGGGACACACCAGCTGCAAGTTCTGTTTCTGTCACTCAAACCCGGATGGATTTATGTGACTTGGGTTAAAAATAGCCAAGAAATTGAACAAGTTGTAATCGCGGCATTTAATGCAATACACAGAAGCATCACACCGAAAAGCGTGATTTAACAAAAAGCGTCACACCAAAAAAAACAAAAAACACAAAACAAAACAAAACAAAACAAACCCTCCCAAACAAAACCCCAGCCAACACCTGAGAACGTTGCTTCTAAACAAACAAAATGAGGTAAGACAGTCTGCAACACACTTGCACTGCGCCCGCGTTTCCTTCCCATCCAAAAAGTACCCCTGCACCTCCACACCTCGCCCCACAAGCCTTTCCTCACGCTTTCCTACCAATTCCCCAGGAACTCTTTCCCTTTACGGGACCATGGAGGTCTCCCACATTGTCCCAACCCCTTCTGTTACTCTAAATCCAAGGAGCATCTTTAGGGCTGGTAAACACCAGCCCATCAGGATGGGGTTTTACCGTTAAAGCGCTCCCCTCGGAGGAGGCGGGCTTTATCACAAACGGCTGAAGTAACCGAAGCTTTAAGACCTGGTAAAACATGCTATTTTTCCAGGTCCTTTTAAAATTACCGGTTTGACAAACGCATTTTAAAATACAAAAAGAGCCTGGAGAAATAATACCGGTTGTTTGGGGGTTTTATTTGTTTGTTTGTTTGTTTATTTATCAGAAGGTGATTACTTAGTGTGCATTTACCAGGAAAGGCAGGGTTGAGGCTTCCCCCCCCCCCCCCCTCTTCTTTGAAACTCTCGATGCACACCCACACCAGCGAAGACCGCGGGGAGGAGGGGACGCGGGTAGCAATGTCACGGGGAAGTCAGGATGGAGATTAATAGCTCTGCCTTTCGCGTACCGTTTTTCTTGCACGTGCTTTATTCTGGCGCTCCAGAGGCGATATTTAGCTTTATTCATACACAGCAGTATGGAGAAGCAGGTGAGCTGTCTAAAATCATTACTGTATTTTCATTACGTTTAACTGAAATACAAACCTGGGAAAACCGCAACTATTTATTATTCCTCCAGTTTATTTTAGATAAGCTACAGGTCATGTATGAAGGTGATTTGCTACTATGAGAACAACATCAATACATTACAACTGATAAAACCTCATACGTATCAGTGCATTGGGGTGCTTAGGAAATGTTTATTCAGCATTCAGAAAGAGAAAAAGAAAGACCCTTCCTGAAACTAGGGAACGTCTTGAATGATGGAGTCATTTAAACTGGCAGATTCACAAAACACAGTATTTGTTAAACATTTTTCTAGGAATAAACCAAAGATAGCTAACTTTCCAAGACGCCTATCGAAGATTCAAAATTGATACCGCCGGCGAGGTTGAGCCACCGACCGAGAGAGCAACCGGTACCGTTTAAATCTGGTTTGCTCTGTCTCCGCTCAGCGCGTACGGGAATCGCCGGCATTTGAACGTCTTTCCTAACAGCGTCCTACCGTTAGAATAGGTACTATCGCACCTTCCAAGGGTAGTTTCATACGTGTGATACCGCCCAGAAGCTTAAAATTATCGAGGTGTGGTTTTTTTAATCCACGGATCTTAGGTAAAACGCTTCTGAAAACAGACAGGGCCTTGCGGTGAAACACCTCGGCGGTGTTTTAAAAACCTCCGCAGCCGCACGGTCGGACCCGGCGCAGGGCATTCGGGACAGGTCGGCTACAGCCGGGTGACGACACTGACTACGTTGTTCGTTCTTACGCTGTCTCACCACGCAGCTGCCGACCTTCTTCTGAGGAAACTGACGCTGCTATTCATACGAAAGCTTATATATGGCAAAAATGCCACCAACTATTCTGTGCTTTCTTTTTCAAAGCGGCTAACACCGCCCGCTAAGTATTTATTACTGTCTCGACCTCATTATTCAGCGGCGAGGAGGCCGGAGCTGGCGGCTGGCTGCCGGGGACCGACGGCCCGACCGACCGACCGACCGACCGGCCGGCGGGGGCAGGGCTGCGGTCCGGTCCGGGCCGGTCCGGTTCCCGGGCGCCTGTCCGCCGCACCCTGCGTACCGCTGGCTCGCGCGGCCGGCAGCATAACGGCACGCGCTAAAGTACACAGCTCAGGGCGGCGCTGGGCGGGCCCCGCCTCCGCCGGCGCCCCGTGTGTCGTCATCAGTCGGCGCCGAGGAGAGGGTGAGGCAGGCGGAGTGGCTTGTGCAGGTGAGTGGGGGTCGGGGCTCGCCTGGGGGTTTCGGGCGCCTCTCTTCGGAGCCGGTGGTTCCTTTCGCTGCGGGGGGGGTGGCGGCGTGGCCGTGGCGAGCAGGGAAAGGCCCGGTCCGACCTCGTGGCCTTCCCTTCTGCGTAAAAGCCCCGCGGGGCGGTGGGAGAGGCCGCGGGGCGGATATTGGGGCGGGCTGGGGTGTCTGGGGCTGAGGGGCCGGTGGGCTGTGAGGAGGGACATCCATCCGTCGGTCCGTCCTCCTTCGTGGGCTCTGCGGGACGTGACGGAGCGGGTTTGCCTCTCTTCCAGGTACCTGTGCCGTCCTCGGCACGAGCAGCGTGGCCGGCGCTCCACGTCTTCGCGGTAGGTTACGGGCGCAGCCCAATGCGCGTGGGGGCACCGGTGTGCCTTTTGGCTGTGTCGGCTTGGCAGCGCTCAGAGCTGCAGGGTAGGTGAAGGCCGGCTAAACCGTGAGCACCTCCCTGCAAAATACGTAGCTGTAGGTCACTGCTGCCTTTAGCAGCAGTATTACTGTGCTGCATGAGCAGCACCAGCTCAAGTTATTTAGCAGCAGCTGTGGTCCTCCTTAGCTCGGCTCTCTGTTTTAGAAGATGCTGCCGTTTTCAAGTGCTAATGGGTGACTGCTTGTATCTTACTGTAATGTACTGACACAGAAGGAATATAACACTTGTGGATTAAGATGGCGCTATGGTTATGGTAGAGCAAAACCTTACTTGAAAGCTGTAGAGGTTAATGAGTTATCTCCAGCTCTCTCAAATAGAGTGGCGTAATGGGGTTTTTCACAAGGTGGTTTGTCAAGTGCTGATCAGACTCCCTTAAAGGATGAACCATTTCTGTCAAGCCTACCCTTCTGTCTTCAAGACCTTAGTTTTCCCAGATGAATTTATACTGAAACAAACTGTGAAGATCGGAGAAATAATCCTTACTGTAATGTTAAGCAAAAGCATCCAAGAGTCGTGCTCGTAAAGAAGAATCATGAAGGCTATTCACTGGCACAAGGGTTAGGAATTCTTCTCTTCCATGTCAAGCAGAACAGAGGCACAGAAAACAGCAACCTCAAAAAAACTGCAAAGAGATATTCACGTTCTAGTCTAGGCTTGCATTGGGTGGAAAAAAGTGTTTACTATCTCCCTAGTGGTTACAGTAATAACCTTAAAGTTTATAGTTGCAACCGTATTTAGATGTTAGGATAGGATTACTTAAAGCTTGATAGAATGTTAGTGGAGTATATGCAACTATTCAGTCTGACGAAGGAATACTTGAAGAGTACCACTGAGTTATCAAACTCTTGATTAGTTTGGTAATCATATGCACCTATGTTAGGATTTTGAGGGCGGATTTTCTTCTCTTTGGCCCCTCATTGTTTTGTTTGTTTGGGTTTTTTTAATTCCTATTACTCTTTTACCTACAGTCTGTTCCCAGGATTTTTAATCCCTTAGATCAATGAAAAGGTAGATTAGCTTAGCTAGTGTATCGGGGGGGGCGGAATACAACAAGGCTTATCTTGTTCATGATAGCACTGTTGTTATGTGAGTAATACATAAGAAATTATTTATGTTTCCAGGAAGGAAATTCTTACCATTGGCGGGAGGGGGGAAATAAAATATTATTAATTGGGCTTTAATGTTTAAAATCCTGTTTAATAGAAAATGTTGTGCTGTCTCCATTTTTGGAGGTTTTCTATACGAGGTTGGTAAAGCTCTGAGAAACCTGATGTTACTTTGCTTTTGAGATGTTGAACTAGATGACTTTCTGAAATCTCCTCCAACCTGAATAATCCAATGTCCTGTGTTTCAAATACAGATGGAATTTGTGTTTACTTTGAAGGCAGTTTTCCATCTTCTGTTAGCTTTAGATCGAGATATTAAAATGATTGTTTATACCTTGAAAAAATAGTTTAAAAACCCCCAAAACAACAACAACCAAAACCTGGTGTGCATGTTGTGGTTTTTTTTTTTTTCAGAACATGGATTCACAGAAGGATGTTCAGCCTCCAAAGCAGCAGCCAATGATTTACATTTGTGGAGGTAAAGAAAAGACATCAGTGAATTTTTTTACTTGTTACTGGAGATGTGGTATTTTAATAATGAAGAATGCATAATCATTATACTGAAGACTACATAAATGCAAATAGTTGCAGTGTGGATCCTGGTGTTCTTTAAAGCTTTACAAACCGATGGTACCACATATATTGGGAGTATATGGATCGCAATGTGGAAGTAATTCACTAGAGCTTGTGCTGCTGCATGGAGGCCCTCTGTCTCCAGAGGGTGCTTTCTCTAAGTGTCTGCACAGATAGTGGACCTTCTAATTTAGTGCATCTCGGAGAGTTTTTTTTTTTTAAATACGTGTGGTCACTCAGCTTTTACTGAAGTGCAATAGTCAAATTCTCTCTTACCTATAGATAAGTCAACAACTTAAAATTGGTGATTTTGAGTTGTCACTTCAGGAATCTCTGAAATATTTTGTCCTTTAAGAAAATAAATGTGGGGCTTGGGGGACTGAGCTGAAGTTTTCATTAGTAGAGAGTCTAGTTGTATCAAAAGTGGACTGTATTCTGTGCAGTAATAATTTGGTGATTTTTAGCAAGATCCTCTTTGATCTTAATATAAGTGAAGTTTGTGAAATTTTTTTTTTTTTTTTTTGAACGGTATCTTGATATCATTCGGCTCTTGATACAAATTCACTACAATTATTTTTTTATTATGTTTGTTTGCCACAAATAGGAATTTGACTGTTATGACTTTTGAAAGTTATCTATGCATTAACAATGTTGGTTTTGTTTACCCACTCCCTTTATCTTCCTCCATCATATCAGAATGTCATACAGAAAATGAAATAAAGGCAAGAGATCCTATCAGATGCAGAGAATGTGGCTACAGAATAATGTACAAGAAGAGGACAAAAAGATGTATCCTTTTACACATGCACTTGAATGCATTTGAGGAGCTGTGGATGGAGACAAGTTATATAAGGGAAATGGAATGGAAGATTTGAGTAATTATGTAAGAATCCTTCAAGGCCAAAAATCGATACAATAGAGCAAAGTACTGTAGGGAAATCTCTGCAGTGTGATTGGGCACCTTGTTTTATTTTCTGGCACTTTCTCTGTTTTTTTCCATTTTCTATGCAAAATATAATAAGCTAGGATAGTCTGCTGGGTGACATACTGTGAATTGTTGATATTTTTCAGCCTTTTAAGAAAAGGAAAGTGTTGTGGGGTTAATTAAAGATGACTTTTGAAATGCTTTTATGTAGTTAGTTGTGACCTTAGATTTAGGCAGTCTCTCCCCACCCCCAATCTTTTTTCTCCCTAATCTTTTTTCAACCACAATGCATTTTTTTTCTTTAACTGCACTATTCCAGTGGTGGTTTTTGATGCCCGATGATGTCTGCTGAAGATATAGTGACTTCATGATGCAGTTTAACCTTTCTAATAACTTTGCTCTGTAAATCCATTCATGTACAAATGCACGTTTTTATTGTGTTTTAAGAGATTGAAATATTAAAGTTTACTGTGATAACTAAAGTTTGTCTATATTGTCTTCCAGCAATAGATTTCTGAAGCTGTCATTTAAATTGTAGTCGGAGTATGCAGTAATTTAAATTCAGTGGTATTGTATTCTTTTTGAGTTAACCTTGTTTTCAGTACTCTCATCTAAATTTGTTTGCATTTTAACTTCGTTAAACATTCTTTGGACTTCTATGAACTGCATAAAATAACTGGTTTGAATAAATTCCACTGAAAATAAATAGAAGGCTATACAAGGCTAGGTCTGAAACACAGATCTGGATTTCAAAAGAGCTTTCAAAGGACCTGAGACACCCAATTCAGCCACCCAATTATGGAGAAAGTGTCAAAAAAAGTCATCTCTCAGAAGAGGGGAGGGAAGCAAGGTAGACATTAAGCAGCAATGTGTAAACAGAAATTCCCAAAGTGCTTCTTGAGTTGGTTGTACTCAGGGAAGGAATTAGATCTGTGCTATAAAGATAATTTGGGTAGTGTCCCAAAACTAAAATAGCATCTTGCTTTGCTTTTCAGGTGACTTCTTGGGGGTCTGTAATAAAAAGATTGAAGTGGTTGTTTTGTATTGATGAGCCGAAACTTTTTGCATCTGTCTGTTTAGAGCGTGTGTTAAGTCATAGTAAAATAGCCTTATTGCAGAAGTGTACTACAAAATACTGCTGGTGTGTGCCTGATGCTAATTTAGCCTCCTTAAGTTCTTCCAGATACCAATTGTGATGGTGCTAGTGATGCTGTTAATGTTGAGATACTATGTTTAACTCTTACCTTAGTACTTACTAAGGTATCTTTGTTACAAGCTTCATGACCCTGTACTGGCTCATAAATGAACTACAGTGGGTTGTTTTAGGGGCTAGATTTTGTTTTGGAGCCGTTTGGTTAAGATTTTCTTGGGTATCTTACCGGATCTTAGCTATGAAGACGTATCTTATCTAGGTTGTTCCTTGGAAGCCAGATGCACAAGCCAGGTGCACCCGAGTGTAAAGGATAACATTTTGCTGTCCGGTTGTTCACCAGACTGGCGTGCGCCTTAGGCCTGCGCAACAGAAACAAGGGCTCGGCTGTTGGCGTGACTGCTCAGAGGGGTGAGCTGGAGGGTTGCCCGCTGAAGAGGGGGCGCTCCCAAGTGCCGGAAGAGGCCTGGTGGGAGTGAGGGATGGGTTTGGGTGGACTGCGGCCGGGCTGGGTGCCTCTGTCTGCCGGACGGACGTGGAGAAGAGCATCCCCTGCCCTCAGGAAGGGGTGCGGACCTGCTTTAGGAAACAGTGCCGGGGGATGGCAGGGCTGACGGGCAGTACTGCTGTAGGCACCGGGGGAGACCGGCGCTGGGAGCGGGACGGGTTGTTCGAAGCTAAATAAAATGCTACACTGAAAACAAACAGGTGATGTTTTATTAAAGCTACACCCCCAAGGGAGGGGCGGGTGTGTCCGTCCCCTGCCGGAGGTGGAGGGCTGGGAGCTCCGCCGCGCCCCCTCCCGCCGTTTTCCTCCGCCCTGACCGGGGGGGGCCTCGCTCCCGCCCGGCGGAGGACGGGGGCGCGCAGCGCGGCCTCCGCCGCAGCCCAGCTGCGCATGCGCGGCGGCCAGCTTGAGGCCGGCGTCGCGCGGCTGAGGCGAGGGCCGGGCCGCGTCCGTCTCCCGCAGGCAGCGCGGCAGCGGGCAGGTGGGTGTTGGGGTCCGCCACGCGACGCCAGTGTCGCCGCTGGAGCTCGGCGGGGCGCCGCGGGAGCCTCGCGAGGGGCTCGCTGTGGAGGGCAGCCCGGTGTCCGCCCCGTCGTCCGCCATGTTGTACGTAGCAACAGTTGCTAGGCGCGGGCTGGCGCGCTGCCCCGGCTCCGGCTGCGGAGAGAGGGGAGGCTTTGGTGTCGTTTTGAAGGTAAATACCTGGCTCCGGGGGATGAAGGTTGTGTAGTCGGCGGCCGCGGAGCAGGGCACGGTGCTGCGGCTTCGGGGAGCTGCCCGCAGCCGCCCGGAGGAGAGGAGCGCGTTTGGCTGTGGCGGTGCCGTGGCCGCGCGCAGCCGAGGTGCCCTGGTTACCGCGTTGCCCGAGAGCTGCTCCGGGCACACGAGAGAACTCCCTAACGTTTATGGAAATACCGAAACGGGAGAGAATGTTGCCGTTTTGTCATGAGTGCTTCTCTTGCTTTTTACTGCTGTCTAATTATTTCCTGTATTCGTCTGTCTCTCCATGCGTGTTGCTTCTTTTCCTATACTGAGACTGTAAATTCTTGGGGCAGAATCCTATCTTTGTGCAATACCTAATTATGACTAGTTATTATTTAAGTGATACTGTATTGTAAACATTTTTCTGCAACTACAAATTAATATGTGTAATTATGCTAGGCATTAGAACACAATTATTTTAATTGGGTTTATATCCCTACGTAGTTGTTACCACATACTAGCTAGCTGCCCTTATTGTACTTGTCAAAAATAACTGATCACTTTAAGCACTATATAACATGGGGGGAAAAAAGAAGAATTTCTGCTCCATAGAGCTTGGAATCAAAATACAGAAAGATGCAGATAAGCAGATCAAACGTACAGGGAGACAGGAAGCGTCCAGTTTGAACATCTCACTTCATCAGTTACAGACTTACTGGAAAAGATTCAGATTAGTACAGTAATATAATCAGAGACTTAGAAAATGCAGTTAGTGAGGAAAGACCAACAACTGGATTTATTTTGGCTACAGAGAAGGCAAACGTTATCATTCCATTAAGTACACTGAGTTGGTTAACATATTCCCTCTGAAAAAAGTAGAGGGTCCTGCACCATTTCTCCTTCATCCCCACCACACTTGGTTAAAATAGGTAATACCATATTGTGTTTAAAGAAAAACAGAGAATGTGGTGGGCAGAAATTGGCAATTTTTCTTTAAGCAGTCTTTCCGACTTGTTCTGCCTTGCAGGAGCAGTAGAGTTGTATGTATTCTTTCTCTAAAACAACTCTCATTTATAACCATACTTCTATCAGTAAACCTCTGTCAAGAACAGTTTGTGTGATCAGGTCTTCAAATTTGAAATTTTTCTTTTGTGGCAACAGGTCTGCTTCCATAACAGAGTATTACTTCAGAGCATGAGCAGGGTTATTCCTTAAGTCTGCATTGCTTCAAAATATAATTAAGTGCCTACAGAATCACATTTTTTCCTTCTAATATTTAGTTATGGGTGATGACTCAGTACCATTTTTGCTGGACCAAGGAACCACTAAAACATATCAAATACCTATTAGTCATCTGGACTACAAGTTCATTGAAAAATGCACAGATGTTAAACACCTGGAAAAGATTCTCAGGGTATTAAGGTAAACATATTTTCTTATCTTCTTTACTAATTATATTCCTGTTCTGTAAAATTCAAAGGAACCCATACTTAAATACTCTGTTTGTCTTGAACCTCTTTGTAACTTTCTAGTTTAAAAATTAAAATACAAAGTTAAAGTAATCATGTTGAAAGTGTCCAAATGATAACACTAGAAATCCAAGTCCTGTTTTAACCATCCAAAAAGTTTGAGTAACTTGATGCCAGGTTTTTCTCAAATGCTGCTGCTGGATTTTGGTTCTGTCATGAAGCCAGCTTGTCTGGCTGTTTGTGGTGATTTCACATGCCATGCCTATTTAACTTTTGCTGAAAATGACATGAACATTTTTTTATGCACACTGTGATAATTTTGAACTGTGTATGTGTGTCCATTGGAAAGTTGTTGAAGGTTAACTCAGTGGAATTTTCTGATCAAAATGTTATTAGGGGACAGTAGAATTCAGTTGTAACAGGAAAATAGTCCTCTGCAGTCACTGTGGTGGCCACACAAGAGACTACACATGGAGAGAAATATGGAGGATGCAGTGCAGTTTAGTTCTTTTTTGTAACTTTTATATCTTTGCATTTTAAAGGTCTGGTGAAGAGGGATGTTATCCTGACCTTACGTTGTTTTGTGAAAAGCGTATCGAGCATTTAGATCCAAGGAGCAGAGCTCTGAGAAGAGATAAGCCTGCAGCCACAGCGTCTGATTTCACAGCTGAAGAATGGGAAACAATTAATGGTGAACTGATGGTACAGTATAACTCTAATTTATAATGGTCAGTAATATAATCACTTTGATGTATCAATCTTCCTTTTCTTGTGCTTAAGTAGAATGTAATTATTTGATTAAATGAGGAAATGATCAAAGGATTATGTTGAGGGTTTTTAAATTATTTTCTTGAATCAATGTCTCTGACTCTTTAACGCCCATTTTAACTCTACAGATTTTTTTTTGTAGATTGCTTTTTATTCAAAAAAGCACAATTGGTTTTTGTCTTAATTGCTTTTCCCCATTAAGAACAATGCATTGTAAGGATAGTTGTTAGGGTCATTGTAGACTATGAAGTATATCTGCTCTAATGCTTCGAGGTACAGATATATTATTTATTTATTTTCAGAGCTGGGTGACAGAAATGAATGAAGATGATAAGAAACCACAGTTCCTGAGAACAGACACACTGCATGAAAGACAAGATAACTTGCCTCCTATCCGTTGTTCCAGCAGCTGTCTTCCTGCTAACCAGGTATCTCCAGTTTTCTAATGTATGTTAATTGTATGTCTTTCTAAAATTAGAAAATTTTATACGTACAAACTTCTAGTCGTTGAGGCTTTCTTACTAGATTTATTTTGTTAACCAGAAAATAAAAAAGTTTAAGTTCCCTTGCAAGAAGACTAATGCTTAAACAAAAGTACCTCCTTAGTACTAGCATGTGTCTTGTAATGTTTTAATTCTGATCAAGAATTCACTTCTGGAGCAAATCACCTTTTTATGTTCTTTGATTCACATTTCAAAGTGGTATTTAAGCATATGAACTAGGTTCCTTTTGGATGAAATTATGCCAGGAGATTTTCTCTGGCTGCCAGTAGGCTTTTTTTCCATGAAAGCAGACAGGAGCTAGTCCAAAATAAACACCCTGAAACACATACAGTATGGATGTTGGACCCTCTGCACCAACTGTTTCACTCTATAGCCACTTCTATATTGGGTTGCACTGGTGTACGTGTACCCTTTGATTCCCCTTATTTTATACCTTGAGTTGGTATTCCAGCTTTAGCCATAAAGCATACTTCCTAATTTATCCATAAAGCATACTTAACAAATATTCAGACCTACAGAATAAACATTTACCCTTTTTCCTAGGTATTAGTTTCATCATGTTTTTTTCCATTTAATTATCTGCCTGAAATATGTTTTGTCTGTGACCAGCTTTTCTTACTAATACTAAATGCAGTGCTATTGGAGGGGTTGGCAGAAAAGTAGGTGTGGAATGCAATTTTTTTGAATTGTCAGATGTTATCATGGATGGCTTCAGTCTGATTCCCACTATTTTCTTTGGAATTCTGGGACACTTATAACAAATTCACTAAAGGATTTTTCTTTTTGGAAGTTTGGAATTGAGAATAGTTATGAATGGATCCTTACAGGTCATGTGATATTTCTTATTAATTGTTAATTTGACAAATTTTATTGGAACATTTATGTATTGGTAAATTCCTGATTTGTGTTCCTGTGTTGTCAGAAACTAGTTATTGTCAGCTGGTGCTTAGACATCAGACCAAGGCATTTGGGATAACTAGGCACTCTCTGTTATGTGGTGTACAAAGAGGCTGGGAACTCCAGTGTAATGCTTTGTAAGTGGTTAGTATTGAGACTAAGATGTGCTTTTGTTTTGGGGTGGTTTTTTCATTAATCTGTCTCTTTCACATTTTGCAATGTATGTTCTTCTTGACTATCCTGTTTTGCTGAGATGAAGAGTCCCACTGTAGCTTTACTCTTGATTTATGTCCTGTATAAGTGTTTTCTAGAACAAAAAATGGTAAATAAAATATGTGAACTCAGTGAATCCAGATTAGAATATAAGCATAAAATGGTGGAAAGTAGCTTGAAATCTAGGATATACAGTTTTACTAAAGAAGATGTGTTCTCCATTCAAAGACGAAATATTTATTCAGATTTTTTTTCTCCTACTTTAAAGCATGCAACAGTCTTCAGGTCAAGTTTCTATCAGTATTGTTCCCCATACAAGGTTTAGGTGTTAGCATTATTACCCGGGAAACCTAGATACAGCTTTATGCCTTATCTATGGTATATGATTTCCATTCCTTTTGTCCAAGCAGATGGCCTCTGAAGTAATTGTAACCTGTCCTGGAAGAGAGAAGAAAGGCCTGAAATTGAGTTTTATTTATGTAGCAGTGCAGTTATACCACTACTAGATCACTACTGAATAAAAAGAAGCTGTTTCTATAGTGTACACTAAATTTATACCTGTAATAGGAAATCTAAAAAAAAAATTCGATTAATATACTTAATCAGTTTTTATTTCTTTTCTTTCTTGCTGATAAAGCTATATGTAATCTTATAATTTTTAAATATGTTTTGCTAATCAGTTAGGACTGTAATTATTTTTTACACTGGCATCACATAATTTTGTAATGTGGTATCAAGTATAAAGTTGGCATGATAAACTTCTCCTTTCTCCTAGAAAGAAATTCACAAACCCTTCCATAATTTCATGTTGTTATCTGATTGGAGACTGTTCATCTGATCTGATATGTAAAAAGTTCAGCATCTTCAATGAAGCCAATTCTGGAAATCCTTATTGACCCTAAAATAGCAGATTGCACCAATGGGTACAGGTTTGGTAAATGGAAGCATCTTGTGTCTGTAATCAGATTTTCTTGCTGATACTAAATGTAGGTACAGTTTCAATTCACTACTAATAGCTTATAACTCTGTATGGTGTTTTCTTTTTATTGGTGTGAAGTCATGGGGAAGATTTTCCAAAAATGAATAGAAAAAAAGAGTGAACTTTATGCAATATTTCCCTCTTTAACACAATATGGAAGTTTCTGTCTTATACCCATTTTTCTTTCATGCTGCCCAGGACTCTGAGGTTACATCTGTACTGCAAAATAAAAGAGGACTGGAGAGACAGCTTGAGTTTTTCTGTTCTTAACTGTCCACATTGCTTAATTATTATTTTTGCTGCCTCACTTTTTCCAGGACAGAACTAAAGCATGGGTTTAAAAATACTTACTTCCAAAAGACTGTATTGATGGGATTTCAGCAGACTTAGGTTCCTTTGCCAAACACAGTTTCCTAATACTATTCCAGAAATATTTCTGTCCTCAGATGCCTCCTCATGCTACAGTCCAGGGCATGCAACACACATGCCAAGTTTTATGTTATAAAAATCCACTGTGATGTTATCTAAATAGTCTTCATATTATTTTGAATACTCTGAACTAAAAAAGAATACTGGTATAGCTGACACAGAATAGTAGTGTCTTAGGCCATCACACAGGGCACAAAGCAGAACCAAGGCCAAATTCTGTGTCACCTGAACTGAAGCCAGCCCATGCTTTGATCTTTGGTCCAGAAATTGTTCACTGGGCTTCAAACCCTGTGGGATCCATGCATTGTGAGTTCTGGCAAGAAATATGACAAGGGCAGAGGGGTTTTTTTGGTTTTTTTGTTCCACTGCATGCAAACATATGTTTTTTATCAAAGCCTTTTGGATGAGGTGCTCTGAAATATTACTGATTAAGAAATTCCTGAATCTGCTGGAGCTGCAACTTGGTTACAGTGCTCCCAAGAATATGAGACCTAGAATTTTTTAAATTGTGCATTTTCAAGTCAACATTTCTGCCTTATTCCTTAAAAGGACATGCTGTAGTTCTCTCCCTAAATTAAAGTTGCATCAGTGTAAATACCTTGAGTTTTCTTCTGAAAAGTAGTTTCACTACTTTTGTGCTCGTTTAAGTTAAGGACTTCTGTTTTGAAAAAAACATTTTATGTTTATTAAATTAGTAAATTTGTAATGTGCACCAGGATGCATACATAATGATAACTCGTATTTCAGGAAGCCATACTTAGGAGTTACCTCCTCCAAACACGCGCTGATCACTAAATGTATTTGTCATTTTGTCTAGCTTCTTGAAAGACTGAGCTTATTAAGAGTAATTCTGAAGTTATATACTATAATAGTTTGTGTAACCTAACATTAGAGATAGTCAGAAGTGTTTACAGGAAGGGTCACATTTGCATTATGTAAATTGAGATGTTTACATCCAACTGCAGAAATACTTCCTTCTTACAGTGTCACCACTGGTAAAGCTAGTTTAAGAGGTTGCTATTTGTTTCTTTGGTCCAGTTTATCATGTGCTCGGTTGAACTGGTAGATAAATTTAGGGATTGCACTCTAATTTCTATCAAATTGTTTGTTTGAACCCAGATAATTGTAAATCTGCAACTCTACAAACAATTACGTTGGTCCAACTCAGTGAATGATGGATTGCAAGTTAAGAGAAGGGCTGAACGGCCAGGACAGAGTAGATGGGAATATTTTGAACTGGCTGTTCCACTGTGGAGTACCTGTTTGGAACCACACCTTGCTATTAAGTATTGTTGAAGTCAACAAGCAGGGAGGGACCTATCAGAAATATACACAGAGGTAGAAGACATGCCAGAGGTGCCAGCTATGGAGATAGGTTCCATTAGTGCAGGAGATGGGTTGTGATACAAGTCAGTCAAATCTGTTATTGGGACTGATTGTTGCAGGAAGGTCCTAAGGATAAAGTTTAGGTAAGGCAAACCTCAGTGACGGAGCTTGTCTAAAAGCTAGAATGAGTGTAAATCATCTTGGGAATTGGCTTGAGTGGAGTGTGAAATAGCCAGAAGTCCAGACACTATTTTGAAGTCAAACATCTCTGTTTGTTGTGAGGGTTCCAGGGACTATCAAAATCTGTGCATTGCATTCTCTTCGGAACGGCAAGCCTAAAATGAGGTTACTGATTCAATCTCAGTGTCAAACACCTCATCACAAGGCTGGGTTTTCCCAAGACTTGAGTTCTCCCTTGCTGTGTTGAAAGGATGGTTTGGAAGATGGCAGCACAAGATACTAATTAGGAAGAGCAGTCTCCTATCTGAAAGTTTTATTCAGTGCCTCTGTGACATATAACAGGGCAGTGGAGAGAAAGTGTGAGAATGAAGAGCGCCTCAGATTACAACGATATGTGAAATACATGAAGATTTTCTTTAAAGCAAGATGAATTAAGTTTTCAAGACTGCTGAGATATTACTAGTAATGAGTAGTTACTAGGAATATGTATTGCAGAAACAAAACAAAACAAAGTCTGTGAATTTCCACTTTAAAAAAATGTCTTACAGGCTGGCTGTTTCTCTTTCAGAACAAAAAATCACAAAACAAAGAAAGAAACAAGAAAAACATACCACGAGATTACAGTGAATGGGACAAGTATGTTAAATCTTTAAGTTTTTATTAAATCTTATTTATTTGTTTAATAATGGAACATGGTGGTTGTTTTTTAAAGTATTTTCCAGAAACATAGTATTAAGGTCAGCATTTCAGGGAATTGTAAGACTTTGGTGAAACTTACGTTTTTCATAACAAATGTTCTGTTGAAATGCAAATGATTCATTGTGGTGCTAACAGCTGAGAACAAGTTAGTCTATACTTCTGTACAAGCTGCATGAAATATAGGAACTCAGCAGAAAATATAAATACAAAGTCATTTTGTTTCAGATTTCATTTTTCAGTATCTAAGATATAAAATTTATGGAGGTACGTAAAAGCAAGGAATTACAATTATCAGTTTTTTGAAAGCACTTCTAGGGTTATTTAACATATGCTTATAAATTCAATCTTCTGTGTATCTAAAGCCACAATTCTAAATTAAAAACAAAACTGATGAATCCTTATTCCTGCACTGAGCCCCACTGACCTCAAAGAATGAGCTTGAGGCGGGTGCGCCAGTTTGCTCAGATGCAATTACACATAATCAGAGGTTTAGACAGTAACTGACTTATTTCTAGAGTGGATGGAGCCCTGATACAAAGATGCTCACTGCATCATGTAATGGTGGCCTATTACCCTCCCAAGTTATGTGACAGATTGATGCCCCCAGATTGTTGAACACGGAGGGGGAAACGCACATGCTTCTCTCTTTTGCATGGTAGCAGCTTCTGTCTAGCTTCTGAAATCTGGAATATGATGCTGTGGTATCAGAGTGAGGAGACACAAGTTTCCAGTGCAGTAGATGGGGAGATAAATCTAGAGACTGTGGGGTTTGGGTAATGAAACTCTTAATGTTTCACTCTACCCCAAAACCCCTACAAAAACCCTGTCTGCATAAGATGCTGTTCTTACAAACAGTTGTGCATATCAGTTATTTTCATGCATGTATGTTTCAGAAATTGGGGCCTTCCTGGTCAAATGTGGACAAACAAAATAGGTTATCAAAATAACTTCTGCAACAATTTATTCTTTTATTCCTCTTTCCACTGTATCCTTTCAAGTAATGATTTGGGGATTTTGTTTACAGTTTTATGTACTCAATCTTTAACTTCTTCAGCATGCTGATAATACTACAGTTTGTGAATATTCCCATATAATGTATTTATTTTGGATTATATGAGTATACTGAAACAGAAGTTATTTGAAATAAATTTTCCAGTTTGAAGCATATCGTGTTTTGAAAACATTTTGAGGATAATTTCAAAACCTTCAAATAATTGTTTAGGCAATTTCTGAACAAAATGTTTCACTTCATATTTTAAAACCACTTACCTTGAAATGTGGTTCATTTACAATAAAAAGGTAAAAGTAAGCTGGCAAAAGATCAGAATCAAAATGGAGAACAATTAGTCTTACCTGAAAAGGTATTGAATTGGATAAATTTTTGAAATTTGTGTGTCTATTTCAGATAGAAATTATTCATATTAATCAAGATTATTGTATAAAGCAAAGGCTATTTTTCATTAAATCTTACACAGAAAAGTAGTTAGTGTAGTGCTTCCAGATAGTGTAGGAATTGGTTATTACTCTGTTTGTTTTATAGGACTATGGCAGCAATATTTATTTGATATAAATTCCTAAACACTGTTTTCAAAAGCTGTTTCAGAGTAGCCTTGGAAGTGTCTGAGACTGTTTTGAAATCTCTCTCACGTTTACCGTATTAGTTGCTTTGAAGTTGTTTCTTAGGTATTTTGGCAAAGGTTAATAGAGGTGTTTGATAGGGCTGGGATTGAGACTGATGATACTGTTTCTTAAATTTTACCTGTCTTTTGGGGGGAGATGGCAAGGATGTGAAGCAGACATTTTTCTTGGTTTGGTTTGTTTGCTTTTAACCAGAAGGGAGGAAGAAGAGGGGAGGTAACGTATAAGCAGGAGAAGCACACACAAAAAAAACAACACAAGGAAAGGAGATAAGACTAAGCATCTTTTTCCTAACTAGTCATGGATAATTGAACATGGCCTTTATCTCTCTTTTTTCCTTTGGTTTATAATGGAAATATAGTATGCCCTTCTACTAGTAGAGGAGTCTTGCTATGCAGCATTATTGAATTTGTTATTTTTATTAATTTAAGGTTTGACGTGGAAAAGGAATGTTCTAAAATTGATGAAGGCTGTGAAGAAAGTAACTCAAAAGCAAGATTCTTTAGTAGGCCAAGTCTACCTATAATTGAAAAGAAAATAGACACAACTGGTAATGTCTTAGAAACATATAATTTTTCTTTAATTGTAATACTGTGTTGTAGAGTATGAATACAAATTGAACAGTTAAAAGTGTCTTTATCTATTTTTCAGCCCCTAGAGATGCTAAAAGTTGTTAGGAGGTCAACTGAACTTGAAGCCATATTTGAAAAAAATCTAGTCTTGGTGTTAATAATCAGTTAAAATATTTATGTTGCATTTAGGTTGAGAGCACTAGGTAAGGAAGTAAAGCATACATCTGCTATTGTAAACCAATGGTATAGGTTAGCCAACCACTTTCATCTTGCACTTTGAATTGTATGCCTATCAGAAGAATTTAGGGTTTTATTATAGAAAATAAAATACAAATTTGTCTTTTAGTAATCCATGTTCTTTTAAAAAAGTAATACACAGATTATGACATTCAAAGTATTTTAGCTCACTGTTTTAATTGCATCTTTGCAAGTTGTTAGTTGTTATGTATAAATATTTTTTTCTAGGAATGACAAAGAAAGAGAAGATTTTTATTGCTACTCGTGAAAAAGAAAAGGGCAATGAAGCCTTTGCCAGTGGCGATTACATGGAAGCAGTGATATATTACACTCGGTGAGTAAATACTATTGTGTTCTTTTATTTTGATGACTGTTACTTGTGAGTATTATTTTTAGAACAATGTAATTAAAGCATCTTCTTACTGAAGCAACTAATGACAATTAGATTATTTTCAAAAGGGCAAAAAAGATTTGACAGAAAAATACTTAAAGCACTGTTGCATCCTGATATTAATTTTTATTTATCAGGAAGAGAAGTGGATAAATAGTGATGGGATGCAATCTGCAGGTGCCACAAACTTTTCCAGATTATTCAAAACCATTGAGAATCAAGGGCAAGTTTGCAAAAATAGAAGGATAAGCAGCATGTTGAGAAACTAAATTAATTACAAATTAATTCTAATTAATCGTATCAGTAGGATTGTCTCAGTTGTTAATAAGTAAAATTGATTTAATAACCTCTTCTTAGGACAAAGAAAAATCACTGTGTGCAGCTTCATCATAACACTGTCTGTAATTAGTAGCTGTCCAGAAAGAAAGTATATAAACACAGGATTAAGAAAAATGAGACTCTTAACAGGTTGCTTGCCTTATTTAGTGCTCAGTGGACTACATTCAGACTGTGGCTTTATTTATAAAAATAGAGGTTGTTGCTACAGGACCTCTGTTGTATTTGTTTCAAAAGTAGAAAAGTGCAAGGTGAACAGAATTGAGCATGTCAGGAAGAGAAGGATAGTGTTTCAGTTAAGGTATTTGAATGCTACCTTGGGAGAACTAGATTTTTTTCTCGACCTTTTTCACAGTGTTCAAACATGATGCCATTTATACAAACAAGGATTTTCATGAGACAATGCTCGTTTCTCATTTGCAGATTACCCATCTTGAGACACTAGAGGTCTGACTTGCAAAAGTGCTGACTGCTCACACATTAAACTAACATTAAAGGAAACTCAATTTTGTGTTTAACTCCATGCTTCGAAATGATAAGGACTTTAAAAAAACCACAAATTCTAGAAGTGTCAAAGTTGTCACTTTGAAATTGAGAGCATATGGGAATCTTGGGATATTAATTACCAGTGTAAACTGAGGGTAATGATACGGCACTATTGTGAGATGAAATGTTAAGATAATTCATGGGCTATGATATTATAGTGGGATATCCTTGAAAAAAAATTTTATGAGGAAGTTAATGCATCTGTTGTCAGTGCAGACAAGTATGAAGAAAATAATGAATACTAATAAATTGTGTGCCACAGCAATAAAATAAATACTGAACAGATTTATTGTTAGGAAGCACCATTCATACTGTCACTGAAGGAGGCAGGGTTTTGTAGAACAGCTTACGAAAATTTACTTGGAGACTGTTGATGTATATATGTGCACAAAGGTATCAATATTCATAGTGCACAGGCTATTTAAACTGAGGCATTTGATGGTTTTTTTTTTTGTTCTTGGCTTGCAGCCTTAATGTTTTTCTTGGTTTTTTTAATACATGAACATGAATATAAAAAACATCCATAGCTGTATTTCATATACAATAAATAAAATACAAATCCGTAATATAAAAGTGAGTTAAAATCTCTGCTTTTGGTGCATAAGTAAGGTATCAGTAAGGATGGACAGAATCCTTCCTAAATGGAGAGTCTTTCCATATCCGACCCCCATGGGGCATTGTACACCTTCTGAAATATATAATATTGACACTGCATGCTGTTCTAACTGGGCACTTTTCTAGCACTATCTGAAAATTACTATTTTCTTACATTTAGAAATATTTAAATAAAACATATTTTGGAGTGAATTGATAATAGTCTGGAGGGGTTATTTATATATGGCTAAGATGGAAAAAGTAGAGTTCTATATAAAAATGATCAGGGTACAGTTATTCATTCTGTTTGTCTTGTAATGAGGCCTACTATTCTAAGCTGAACATAGAGTGCTTTCTATTTTACAAAACCCAAACCTCTCATTTCTCAGGAGATTCAAAACTTTTGCAGAGGACGTTCTCTTGACATAATTCGATTGTGCTGATGTGATTTTAAAATAAATGGCTCTTGCCTATTTTTCTGCATATGTCTAGTGAAATCACTCTGTTTAGTAATTTCAGTTATACTGCAGAATCATAGAATAATTTAGGTTGAAAGTGACCTCTGAATGATATTATGGGCAAATCGCCTCTCAAAGCATGGCCAAGTTACATCAGGTTACTCGGGGCTTTGTTTAATTAAGTTTTTAACATCTCCAAGGATGGAGATTTCACAACCTCTCTGGGCAGCCTGTTGCAGTGTTTAACTACCCTTACAGTAAATTGTTTTTTTTTTTTTAAAAACTTCATCAGAAATTCCCTTTTTGCAAGTTGTATCTGTTGCCTTTTGTCTTATCAGTGTGCACTTCTGAGAAGGATGTGACTCTGTCTTCTCCATATCTTCCCATTAAGTAATTGAAAACAGCTACAAGACCTCCCCTGAACCTTCACTTTTGGCTGAACAAACCTAGTTATCTTAGACTTTCCTCACAAGTACTGCATGTACTCCAGTCCCCTAACTATCCTGGTGACGTGCTGGACTCACTCCAGTCTGTTGGTGCCTTTTGTGTACAGGAAAGCCCCAGACTAAACACAAGTACTCCACTTGTTGTCTCATAGGTGCTGAAGATAGGGGAAGAATCACTTCTGTTGATCTCCTGGCTACGGTCTTGCTAATATGGCCCAGCATGCAGTACGCCTTCTTTGCCTTGAGAGCATACTGTTGATTCCTGTTCAATTTGTTGTCCACCAGAGCCCTCAGATCCTTTCCTGCAAAGCTGCTTTCTAGCTAGTTGGCACCTAGCCTGTAGTGTTGCTCGAGTTACTCTGTTTCAGGTGCAGGATTTTGTGCTTGCCTTTTTTGAACTTCCTGAGAAGTCTGCCAGCCTGTTCTGGCCTGTTAAGGTCCCTTTGACTGGAGTTCTGCTGTCCAGTGTATTATTGACTGTTCCCCCTCCAGCTTTGTATCATTGACAAACATCCTGGGGGTGCCTTCTATTCCATCTTGTAAGCCCCTAATGAAGATGTAAAAAGTACTGATCCCAAAGGGAGGCCACTAGTAGCTGTTCACCAGTTGGACTTTGTATGGCTCAATTCTTTGAACCCAGCAGTCCAGTTAGTTTTCTTTCTCCCTTATTGTCCACTTACATAGTCCATGTTTTACCTATTTGGCTATAAGAATACTATGGGAGATCATGTCAAAGGCTTTGCTACAGTCAAGGTAAGGAAAATCCTGTGTTCGTCCTTCCTTCACTGAGCCAAGAAGCAAAGAAAGCTATCAAGCTGGTCTTGGCATGGTCTGCCTTTGGTAAATCTGTGCTATCTGTTGCTAGTCACCTTCTTATCCTTCGTATGCTTGGACAGGAATTCAGGAAGACTTGCTCCATAATCTTTCTGAGAACTGAGGCTAGACTGGCCAGCCTGTAGTTTCCCAGGTCTTCTACCTTGCCATTCTTGAAGATTGTTGTGGATTGACCCTGGCTGGATGCCAGGTGCACACTAAAGCCACTCTATCACTCCCCCCCACCTCAACTGGACAGGGGAGAGAAAATATAACAAAAAGCTGTGGGTCGAGATAAGGACAGGAAGAGATCATTCACCAATTACCGTCATGGGCAAAACAGACTTGACTTGGGGAAATTAGTTTCATTTATTACCAATCAAATCAGAGCAGGATAATGAGAAATAAAACCAAGTCTTAAAACATCTTCCCCCCACCCCTTACTTCTTCCTGGGTGTCCTGGTTTCGGCTGGGATAGAGTTAATTTTCTTTCTAGTAGCTGGTATAGTGTTATGTCTTGGATTCAGTATGAGAAGAATGTTGATAACACTGATGTTTTTGAGTTGTTGCTAAGTAGTGTTTATACTAAGTCAGGGATTTTGCAGCTTCTCATGTCCAGCCAGCAAGAAGGCTGAAGGGGCACAAGAAGCTGGGAGGGGACACAGCCAGGACAGCTGACCCAAAGTGGCCAACAGGGTATTCCATACCATGTGACGTCATACCTAGTATACAAACTGGGGGGAGTTGGCCTGGGGTGGGGATTGCTGCTCGGGAACTAACTGGGCATCGGTCAGTGAGTGGTGAGCAATTGCATTGTGCATCACTTGTTTTGTATATTCCAATCCTTTTATTATTATTATTGTCATTTTAGTATTGTTATTATTGTCATTATTAGTTTCTTCTTTTCCGTTCTATTAAACTGTTCTTCTCTCAACCCACAAGTTTTACCGTTTTCCTTCTGATTCTCTCCCCCATCCCACTGAGTGGGGGGGAGTGAGTGAGCAGCTGTGTAGTGCTTAGTTGCTGGCTGGGGTTAAACCACTGGGCTTAACTTTACTCCTGATTTTCTCTACCTCCTCCCTCTCAGTGGCACAGGGGGAATGGGAGTGGGGGTTGTGGTCAGTTCATCACAAGTCATCTCTGCTGCTCCCTCCTCCTCAGGGGGAGTTCTCCTCACACTCTTCCCCTGCTCCACCGTGGGGTCCCTCCCATGGGAGACAATCCTCCACAAACTTCTTCAACATGGGTCCTTCACACGGGCTATAGTTCTTCATGAACTGCTCCAGTGTGGGTCCCTTCCATGGGGTGCAGTCCTTCAGGAACAGACTGCTCCAGCTTGGGTCCTGTCACTGATGGGCTTGGCCTTGGCCAGCGGCAGGTCTGTCTTGGAGCTGGCTAGCATTGGCCCTATCAGACATAGGGGAAGCTTCTGGTAGCTTCTCACAGAAGCCACCCTTGTAGCCCTCCCCTGCTACCAAAACCTTGCCACACAAACCCAATACAAAGATGTATGTGACATTTGCCTTGACCAGTCGCCAGGAACCTCTCCCAGTCACCATGACTTTTCAAAGATGATATAGAGCAGTCTTGTAGTAACACTGGCCAGCTTCCTGAACACCCCATCTGGAACTTGTGTATATCCTGTTTTCTTAAGTGTTTCCTACTTTATCTTCCTCTGTTGTGGGTAGTGCTTCACTCCTTCAGAATCTGCCTCTAGACTCAGGTACCTGGGAGGCCTGAGGTGAAGAAGCCACTGAGTACCTCCAACTTTTCCATGTCCTTTGTCACTAGGTTTTCTGCTGCATTGACCAGCGGGCCGACAGTTTCCTTAATCTTTCTTTTGCTGTTGATAGACCTTAAAAAAAGAAACCAAACCACCAAACTTTCTTGTTACTGCTCACATCCTTTTTCTAGTTTCAACTTCAGCTGAGCTTTTGCTTTCTTAATTCCATCACTTGCACTTAGCCAGTGTCTCTATATTCCTCCTGGGTAGCCCATCACCACTGCCATCTGTCAAGAGTTCTCTGTTCATCCCTTCTTCTATGCTTGCTTGACTTCCTGCACATTGGAAGGGATCATTCTTGTGCTTTGAGGCAGCTGTCCTTGAAAATCAACCAGCTCTTTTGGCACCCTTTGGCCTGTAGGTTATTCTCCCTGTAATCCTGCGAAGCAGATTCCTGAACAGGCCAAGATCTTGCCTTCTGAACTCCAGGCCTATAATTCCAGTGTTCATCTTGCTCATTTATCCCAGAATCTTAAACTCTACAATCTCGTGGTTGCTGCAGCAAAGGCTGTTGTCAGTTTTTGCATCCACAGCCAGTTCTTGATTGTGAGTAACAATTCGAGCAGAGCATTCCCCCTTGTCAACTTGTTGATTGTGTCAAGAAGTTGTCTTCTATGAGATTTCTGGAGCATATTGATTTCTTGTGCTTTGTCATTTTGCCCTACCAGCAGATACCAGGGTGGTTCAGGTCCCCCATGGGAACCAAAGCCTGTAATTGTGAGGCTTCCTGTAGTTGCCTGAAGAAGACTTCATCTGCTTGTTCTTCTTCATCAGGCAGTCTGAAGCACGCACTTATCATATTGTCACCATGTCAGTCTGACCTCTTATTCTTACCGATCAGCTCTCTTGACTGGCTTGTCAGTCTCTTGCCTGTTCCAAGACAAACTTTGTCTGTTGCAAGACAAACCTTCACATATTTAATCATTGCTTAGGCTAGAACGCATCTCCTCCTCGCCTTCCTAGTCTTTCTAAAGACCTGCATGCCTCCATCACAGCGCTCCAGCCACACAGATTATCCCACCATTTCTCTGTTATCCCACTGAGATCATAGCTGCACAGACCTTTTATTATTCTTTTTTGTTTCCCATGCTTTGTGCGTTTGTGCACAAGCACTTGAGATTGTCCTCCAGCCATGCTTTTTTCACAAGGAAGGTGTGAGTCTCTTCCAGTATGCTGTCCGCCCCAGGACTTCCCTATTGCCCCCTCTTCCCAGTGAACACAGTTCAGAGTCCTTCTTGCTAGGTTAGCAAGGGTGTTGACAAAGATTCTCTTGCACCACTTTGTCATCTGCATTCCAGATTGCTCAGAGATGATCCTGTTGTTATAGAAGCTAAAGACCTGCCTACAATACCAGTCACACAGCCAGACATTGACCCAGACAATTCATCCACTGCTACCTGAGTCTTTCCTCTTTACAAGCAAGATCAAGGAGAAGCCCTTGTGGTCCCCCATGCTCTTCATCATCACCTCCAGAGCTCTCTAGTTACTCTTGATACTCTCAAAGGTTTCATTTGGCAGTTTCATTCAAGTCTACATGGATGGCAACAAGAGGTAATAGTTTAAGTGACAGATGAGCCATGGCACCTTCTGTGCAACATCTCAGATCTAAGCCCTGGCAAGCAACAGACCTCTGAAGATGGTAAATCTAGTTGGTGGATGGTTCCCTCTGGTCTCGCAGGACAGAGTTTCTAACCACTATTGTGGTTAGAATATCAGTATTAATATTGTTATAATATTGTTTTCAGCTTCCAATAGTGAAGTGTTTATACATTCAAGTTTTCTAACTAGGAGCCTACCATGGTCAATACTCCCTTTTTTCAGGAGTATATCAGTAATACCCACTGCAGCTGCATATAATAACAAAGCTCAAGCAGAAATCAAACTTCAGGACTGGGATAGAGCTTTGCAAGATTGTGAGAAGGTACTAGATATGGAACCTGTCAACGTAAAAGGTAAAGTAGAACACAAACTTGCCCATTAGTTTATTTCTAGCAAATAAAATGGTACATACCCATTCATGTTGTTAGTTGACTTCACTGAGCTTTAGATCAGGTCTAAGTACGAGTAAGGAAACGAGTAGCTCCCCAAAGTAATTTTAACAGTATTTTCGGGGTCAGGGGAAGTTTTATGCAGTTCACCCAGTTGATCCGTAATGGGTATTCTTAAGTGGTAGCACGGGGCTAACTCTTGTTTTTCATATTATGACTATAAGCCCTCTTGTATTCGTGCAGTGCATTTTTTCCATAATACCCACACTGAAGTATTAATTACCTTAGAAGTGACATGAAAACAATGAAAGTTGCTGATTTAATCCTTTCTGAAGGCAAGGGCTTGAATGTAGCTAACTATATTTGCATGGGAGGAGGGGAAAAATTGGAAAAATAGTAAAAGATGCTTCATAATTCATGATCGCTATCTCAAAAGGTGTCATGTGAAATTGCATTGTGAAAAATGATCAAGAGAACAGTTATTACTAATACAGAGTCATTATGAAGTAAATGCAGAATTTTAAAAACTGTTCTACACTTAATATGTCTAGAAAAAGTAGTGTATTTTTATCTGCTTTATGCTTTAAATACATAAATAATTCACTTTGTTCCTCTGTAGCTCTGATGCGCCGTGCCACTGTACACAATCAGCTGCAGAATTACCAGACAGCTGTAGAAGATCTGAACAAAGTACTGTGTGTTGAACCAGAAAACACTATAGCTAAGGTAAAGATAAATGAGTATGACTAGAAAGAGGTTGTATGCAGTTGTAGCATAAAGTGAGTACAGTTTATATTGTTTGATTTGAATATGAGTTTTAAGGACACACTCGATCTACTGTGCCAGTGATCAGTTTCCCAAGACCACATAGGTGCCTGTGGTGGAAATTAAGTACTTGAATGGGACAAGATCTTCTGTTCACTACTTAATTGTGAGAACCTGTAGGCACTCAAGTCTTGCTCTATTAACGTAACTTAGGTGCCTAAAATTTTGCTGCTGAACATGCTTATAGAAAAGATTATCAAATAGGCTGTGCTGAGACTTCTTATAATACCAGACATAAGATATTTATTTTGGGTACTCTTCCAGAGTTCTTAATACATTAGTAGCTTTGCTGAGCAATGCTTCTGTGGCTGAAGGCAGATCTCTGTACTTTGTCCTTATCTGTGCCAGCTATTATGCCTTTGCTGAGACATCTAGAAGTGACAAGTGCTTGGCAGGGCATTTTTTTGAGTTGCTCTTTGCTTGGAGGATCATCAAAACCCTCTTGAGCTATATATGAATGTATGGAACACATGCAGAATGAAATGTTTATGTGCAGAGTCACTAATATAAAGGTAAATTGGTTGTTAGTAACTGGAATTCTTCAAGGTACTTTGTCCACATGAATCCTTGCTTGTTCCTGTCCTTGTTTTATCTTTTTCTTGAGGAAGCGAGTACTGAAATGGCACTTCCTTGTATAGCATTGGATTAAATTCAGAATAGTGCATAATGCTGTGTGTGTCTTACTCTGCTCTGAAAGTATGAAGTGCAGTTGGAGTATTTTTTTTTGTGCAATCAAAAAATGTTTATGGAATGAGAGGATGTTTAATTTGCAGTTCTTACAACAGGAGCAAACCTTTTCATTATTCAACAGTGTCCTTCTGCTACACTGCTAAGAAATTGTGTGTGTTGGTTCTGGTTCTGTCAGTTACACTCCTCCATCAGATACCCATTAGACACCAAATTCTCCATAGCAGAAATTTTGATAAACTGTTTTTAGGCTTTTTCACAGATTCTGGAAAGAGCCTGTTTTCCATGCGTCTCTTCTGAGTAGACCGTGCCAGATATCACAATAATACAATCTACTTTTTTTCCTTTTAAATTATTTTTTGCTTAAGCAGTTCATCAAGAAAAGAACTTACATATTTGTGTGATATCTTCTAAGAGACAGAAATTGAGTGTTAATCTTGGTTTTGATACCAACTCTTGGAAAAGTCATATATTTTCTTGGGTTTTATATCAGTTACATTAATTTTGCTGGTTCTTCAGGATTTTATGTGGATTATTTAACAGAATGTATTTTCTGTATATAAATTATAATTTACATACCTATAAAAAAGGCTTCTGCTATTGCTGTTTTTTCTCTATTTCAGAAATATCTGCTAGAGATTGAAAAGAAACTGAAAGGTTTAAAGCCTGTATCTGAGACTCAAGGCAAAGGAAAAAGAATACTTATTCAAGATATAGGGGATTCAGATGGTGATGAAGAAAGAGGGGAAAATACAGAGGAACATGAAAGAAGCGGCAGAGATAAAAGTAATGTCATGTCATTTCCTATTTAATTTTAACCTGAGGAAAAAATCATTGCCTTTGATATTGTAATGTTTGTTCACACAATTCATCCATATTTGCTTGCAAAGAATTTTGCCTGTTTGAAGACTAAAATTACATTCACTACTTAAAGTAGATCCGAATGTGAAATCTAGAATCCAGTTTTATTACACATCTTTGGAATTATTTCTAGAATATACATATATATATATATAACTAACTACATATATATAGAATATGTAACAGAGGCAGGTGGAAAATGTTGCTATAAATCACCTACTTCCCTGTGTCCTGTGTAATTTTATACCTATCCTTTGATGTGGACCCAGTTGGGAATTCTTCTGGTGTTATGAGAACGTTTTATGTTCCTTAGCTCTTTCTCTCACACAGTTCTCCTGCCTTCCCACCATCACATTTTTCTTCTGCATTTTTCCTCCCTTGATTGGGTCAAAGGGTGTAAAAACAATCAAGTGGCATGTAGTTTGATTTTTTTTGGTCATTGTTTTGAAAACTATCAGTCTTTTTTTGGTTTTTAATGTAAGAGATCATCTGTGTGCTCCCAAAGTATATATTAGAGGTAAAAAATATGCGATTCTTGTACTGTATGTAGTTTACAAGCAGTTGAAGCGCAGCTTCTGTTCCTGGATTAGGGTGTGACTAACTGCAAGACTGCTGAGATGAAGCTATGGCATAATCAGAATATGTGACTTGTAGGAGGAAGTGAGGCAGCAGGGGCTATTGACGCTTGTACTGGCAGGTTACTTTTGGGTTCATCTGCATGTCTGGGCTCCAACCTTGCAACAGAATAACATCCCTAGGTTGATTTCCACCTTTTCTCCTTTCTGTTGGCTCTGTAAGGTAATGCAGCATGACAACTGCGACTTTTGTGTTTTCCATGGCCTATGTAATTATTTATCTTGAAATTAAATCAGTCTGTGGGTTTTCCAACTTAAGTGCGAGTATTAGACAGTACATGTGGCATTTAATAATGCATTATTTGCACACAAATTTAAGGAAAATACATTTTTCAAAATCAGTAGGTATCCACTAAGTCTCCTCAGATAAAACCCTGGAAGAAAGGATAGATCATGTCCCTAGCCTTAAATATTAGTTAATTTGGGGTTGCTTTCCATTGGGAGCATTCAGATGACTAAGTGCCTTCTAGCTCCATAGGAATATTCCCATTTTGTTGATGAAAGGTTAGGCTTTTAAACATAGGGAAGATGGTCAACTGATGTCAGTCACATGTGTTCTCAAGCTTGAGATTTAGGAGGCAAGCGTCTTCATAAGTTACTCTGTGTTTTCAAGTACAACTGGAAACAAATATGAAGCCAGTTCAGTTATTGAGTAAATCTGGTATGTTCTGTGAACCTAATAACAACAACAAGTAAACTAAGCATCTTACATGTCTTCTCTATACATCTAGTCATGTAGTCAGTCAGTCCAGTAGTCCACATAGTCCAGTCATGTAGTCACATTTATTTCACATTCTAGTTGGTAAGCCTCATGCATTCCTCCTAAACTTATAATTTAGAGATTGGAAGATAAACAACAAAATATTTTTTGTTTTCTTTAGCTCTGAAGAGTTAATTTCTCAGCTTTGAATAGAACAGTCTAAAGGCTGTAGTCTCTCTTCATCTTTTATGTGCTGAAAGCAAAAGTAAATAAAATCTTTTTTGTACAGTAGAAACAGAAAATTGCTTACATCCTAGAGACTGTAAAAACTAGTATTCAGGCACTGTAAAAACTAAAAATCATGTATGTACTTGCCATAACGCCTGATCTTTTGATATGTTTATAGAAGTTCTCAAGTGATAAATATGGTTTACAGATAAAAGTATTTTAAATAGCCCCTTTTAATTCATAAAAATTTGCTGAATTTTGTGGTATTTACTTGATCTATTACAATATAATTATTGATTATTAAATAATTATTAAATTAATAATTACTAATAATTATTAAATTATTAAATATTATTGTAAATATATTGAACAGTTCTGAAATTTAGTAGATATTTGTTCATGAAAAGGAGAGTGCTTTAAACAAATAAAGTCTAACTTAGCTTTAAAATTATTATTTCTCAACCTGTTATTGCTAAGTTGACAACAGCTCTCTTTAAAAGATGTACTTGGAGCACATAGAATAGAAGAAGCCTTGAAACAGACAAAGCTAGGCTTTGACAGTGGGAAAAGATGTTGCTTAGAGAGTGTTTTCTTTGTGCGTGGTGTCGCAGAGGCTTATCAAATCAAATTAGGCAGGTGACAAACTCAAAGGAAATTTATTCTAACTAAATTGTTTAACAGGTGATAAACTAGGAATGGCATTTGTTCTAATCAAAATCGCTTAACAGTCCAACAAACTTTAGTAAACTACAGGTTCAAGATACCAAACGGAATTAATAACTACACAGCTGACTGAAGTTTTAGAAATGATGACCCAGATGTGCAATCACTCACCCTGCAAGGCGAGGGCTCTCAACCTCCAGGAGTTTCCTTAGGCAGTGTCCCAACCTCAGGGGAGTGTCCCCAACTGGAGACCCGCTGCTCCAAGGAGGACCAGCTCAAAATGCCCTCCGGCGGGGCCCCATTTATACCCTAGTGGAATCTGATCTGTGGTCATATATGGTTAATGGTCGAGAAGTTTCTTTCTACTGAAGTATTTCATTGGCTGAGGGCTTTGCCTTTCAACCGGAGTGCGTGACAGTCGTCAATAGGGAAGGCTACCGTTCAACAGTCGAGAGGTTTTGAGGGGTTTTAGTCTTTAGCAGGGTGGGTGCACCTACCACATGTGGTTTGTTTATTACGCTTTAGAGGGGAAGAGAATATTCTTCTTCTAGATGAGACCTTTTTCCCCTGAAGGATATTTTTTTTTTTTTTGGTATATGTCCTGTTTCTGTGCGCCTTGAGAGTGCTGGTTTGGTACACTGACACTCGGTATTGAAGCATTAGAGCACCTCTTTTTCCTTTGTGTCAAATCCTTCATCTGGCTTCTAGTTTTGCTGCCTATGTGGTATTAAATTTACTTGATCCCACAGCAGTTGGCTACAGAGAGTTATTTTGTGATTTTCTTCCAGTCTGTTTTCTACTTGATAGCACCAAATTAAGGTCTTTGTCATTGAACATGACAGTACCATGATTTGGAACCATTCTTGTATTGAAGAGCATCTCCTTATATCAGTCCACTACCTTGGGACTTTGTTTTCTTCCACTAGATCGTCCTTTTTTGGGAATGGTCTTAGGAGCCGAATAGGTATGAAAACTGTCTCTGCATCATTGATGAATTATGTACTGCGTTCTCAGCTGATCTTGACCATGTAACATGGTTTCTCTGAAGTAATGGGCTTTCCACCCTTAAATAAATGGGGCTGTCATCATAATGACTGATTTACAGCTTTCCAAAACAAATAGGGTTTGATAACACTCTTTGAATTTCTCTTGTTGATTTTCTAATCATGTTTTATAAAGTGGACATCTTCAAATAAAACTGGATTCTTTGTCTTTGCATTTTTACTTGATTTATTCCATGTGGAATAATGAAACATTTATTTGATGTTACAGATCATTCTTCAACATAATGTGTTAATGTTCATGGCTTTTCACAGAGAACAGTGAGTAAAGTCTTAGATTTGCATTTTGAAGTTTCTGATTTGTTGAGAAGCAAAGCATATCGGGTAGGAGACAATTAGAGCTCTTCTACTCAAGCGATCAAGTTGTGCTTGCTGTTGTATTTTCGGCATTCATGATATTGCTTTCTGCTCTCCTCTGCTACTGAGGCTCTGAGATAATTGAAATGCTATCTGCTGATTAATACTTACTGGCTGCTCTGTATCCTTGCTCACTTGGCCTTTATGCCACATATGAATTCTCATCTATCCAAATCTTAATTTGTAGTAATCTCTGTGACTAGAATTTTACTGTAATAGGAAGTTTCTTTGCCATTGTAGCCTTGAATAATTGACTGTGTCTGTTCTTCTTACGGTTAGAAGCCTTGTTGATGAGGTCTTGTATGAGGACATTTGGCTACCCTGTTATCCAATATAATAGTTATTCTGTATTCCTTGATCCTCTTTCCACTGTGCTTGTTCATTTGCTATTTTTGATTTTTTAGAATTGTAAACTCTCTGAAGAAGGAACTCTCATTTATAATTAATTTGTATAGTGTGTAGCACAATTGGGCCCAACCTATTGTGGCTTTTAGGCTGTATTGCAAGCTTGCAATATGAAATTTAGATCATGTTAAAATAAACAGCATTGAAAATTCACTCTAGAATTGCACTTGTAATGCATATCCTGAAGTTAAGAAAAACCTTCAATTACAGTGTCAGTATAAATGCTGACCAGTAAATCTTTTTTCATTCTTTATAAACAAAGATTGCCCCTAAGCAGGAGAGATCAGAGTTGTTCTAGAAGCTTGTTTGTTACATGTTCTGGCTCAGAACAATTCGGGTACAATCTCAACCACCTAAACCAAGAAGACAAAATACAAAACAGATATTTGCTGACTGTGTGTGGCAAAAAAAATTTTAAATTATTAAAAATTAATCTGTGGAGATTTGGACCATTCCAGTTGCCTTCATATGTAGCTAGTCCAGAGCAGATAAAAGACTTGAAAATGATTCCTGGCTTCGTAATATGTAAATTCATTGTGAACTGAACTTAGATACGTTGTTTTTATTCTGCCACCATTATTCTGTGCCATGCTTCTGGAGGATAAATACTTTGTGTAGCTGGAAATTAATTTTAAATGAAAGACAATGTCATCCATTAAAAAAAACCCTTCAAATATTCCTTTTGGAGTATTGACTAGCTTTTGTTTTATGACAGTCCTTCCATTTAAAGTTTGTTATTTTAGTAGTAACATGAATTAAAATTCTTTAAAGTTTGTATTTATTGTCATTTTGGTCAAAATCCTGTCCATATTTTTCAGTAAGTTTCTTTAACTTTTCATTGGAATTTATAATGTGTCTAGACTTTTTTTTTTTTAAGAAAAGTTCATAGGAACTGATTTTTATTTTTTTATTTATTTTTTTTAAGCAAAGCCCAGAATACTGCTTTCATGAATACGTTTCTCTGTAGAGACTGATACAGTAATATTGTTTACGTTATAAACACTGAAACTGAAAGACAGTGAGAATTAGATTTGAGAAATACATCTCTACAATTTAGTGCGTGGTGTTTACTCAGTCCAGAAATATTTAGGCAATTAGAATAATCTGACACCTAAAAAAGTTAACTGTGAGTATTCCTATTTTCAGGGGGACTCCAAATGCTATAATTGTTTCCTGTTTAATCCAGTATTGGTTCTGTGCACTTCAGGAAATTTTCTCCTGTATTCGGGAAGTGATGTTCACATTAATGACATTCACATCACACATTATCTTCCTTTCTTGGTTTTTCTTAGTCTCTAGCAGTTGGGATGCTCTTCAAGAGTGTTTCGCTGTGTTTTCTAAAAAATTGTCATTATCACCTGTTTGTCTGTGACATTGAAAATGTTTTTTTCCTTTTTTTTTACTAGAAGGTATACAGAGTGTTCTGTATTTTGGTGGATGTAAAATGGAAATATTTTAGCATGTATCCTAAGGAAATCATTATTATATTACTACTGTCTTCATTCATCTGCCCAGCTAGCCTTTTACCCTGATGCTTCCTACCAAACAGATGTTAATCCTTTTTGGCATATTTGGCACTACCAAATTGGATGGATGGATGAATGGATGGATGAAAGTCTCATATAAATAATTTACTAAGTTTTATTAAAATGTCTGTGTGGGTAGAATAGATTTATCCTATCATTCATTGTTCCCACTGTGGAGTATGAATTTATTATTAAACGTGGTATTTCAGAACAGAGACCACAGCTAGGAAGGACGCAGTTGGAGCTTCTGTCTATTAGGCACTAGAAAATCTATTGTTTGTAAAAACCTTATTCTTTCCCATCCTGTTCAGTTTGATTTCAGTAACATTTTGTGCACTAAAAAAATAATTTCTGTAATTTGGAACAACCTGGAGTTCATCCATGTTCAATCAACTTCAGAAGTTTAGTTTGAGTTTGGAAGTATCACTCCAATATATGAAGGCATGAAAAAATTCTGTTGGACAGACAAACACATCAAGCTAAGGGAAGATGAAAACCCAGCATCTTAATAGTACCAGAACACAGAGTTGGCTTTGTGTGACTGGTAGTATCAAGAGTCAGGCTCTCTGCAGAAATCTATGTTTGAATATCGTGGTGGTAATCTTTTAGGAATTCAGGTGAATAAGGAATATATGTATGTTAATATCTGATACCCTTATTGCATGATTTTTCCTAATTAAATTAGTAATAAATAATAGTGAAAGTTGAATGATCAGAAGTATCTATAAAGGGCTTTTTGACATTATGTTTAAATGAAACCTTTTTGAGAATTATTTATAAGCTTTTAACTCTCCTATTTTATACTTGAGGACAGTTTTGAACTGTGCAACATTACTGGTTTGTTAGCTATGTGTTCCAATTTTAACATGCAAGCATTTTGATTCGGTCATGGAAAATCAAAGTACCCATATGGTAACAGCCAGTATTTAAAGAGTTAATTTCAAGGTGAACTCCGTACCATTCTGACACTCCAGTACAGGGGTTCACAATGTGCCCAGCAAGGAGACATGAGATTTCATAGTAATAATTGCAAGTTATGGACGAGTAGGTATTTTTCTGTGTTCTTGGAAGTGTTGTCTGAGGCAAATAAATCTTCATAACGTTAGGATGCCTGAAGTATTTGGTCCCCTGTTCTTTGGCTGTACACCCCTCTTCTGCCAGGACGATAGTTTCTTCTGATGATGCAAGCTCTAACTCAGCTCATTAACTTCCTTGCAGAAATTGTCCTGCCAGTAAGAGGAGAGGCGGCGGCTGGGGAGGCTGCCATGGGGAACGCGCAGAGAAAGTTTCATAGCAAAGGAGGAGGCAGTAAGGCAGAGGACGGAGAGACACAGAAGCAGAAGGAATCTACTGAGAGCAGATTAAAAAAAGGCACAGCAGAGAAAAAATCACAAAAGCATTTGCCAGACCGTGAAGGGGAAGTTAATGGCTATTTACACAGTGACCAAAAGAGTGAAAGCCCTGAAGCTGAAGCTAAGAAGGTCTCCAGATGGCACGGAGCAGGGTCTCAGTCGGCTGGTGGTGGCCGTTCTACTTCACTTCCTCCTACTGCAGCAAAACTAAAAAGTGAAGGAAACGAGTTATTTAAGAGTGGACAGTTTGGAGAAGCCGTGCTCAAATACTCGGAAGCAATTGAATATGTCATTGGTCTAGGTGGGTGTAATACCTTATGCTTACATATAGGATTGTTGTTTAGATTACTTAAAGGGACTACAAATGAGCTAGCCTATCTCCGGATTTTTGGCAGGAGCTACTGTGCAGTAAATTCTTAGTCATTTCACTAGAGGACAATTCATGTGACAAAAAATGTAGGAAGATGAGTGAAATAATATTTTAACTTCTTGGGGCAGAGCTGCTTGCATTTATGTGTTTGAATAATTACATATTCTAGGTGACATGATAAAGGAAAGCTGCTTACAGCTTTGCATTGTCAGCAGACTGCATCACTGCAGTGCAACTTAGAGCGTACAAGTCTTTAATTCTTGAATGTCATTTTAGTCTTTGATTTTAATTGTAACTTCTTTTAGGAGAACAAAGTCCAGATGATTTAAGTATCTTGTACTCAAACAGAGCTGCGTGTTACCTCAAAGAAGGGAATTGCGCTGACTGCATTGAGGACTGTAACAGGTAAATTGCAACCTCCCATGTAGAGCAACAACATTCTTGATGATGATTAAACATTTTAAATGATATATTGTTATTGCAGTTTGACTTAGAACAATCTTCAGTAAAGTCTGGTTCCTTGTCTAAATGACAGATATCTTTGTCAGTTATGTAAACAATTACATGGAACCTAGAGAAGGAGTAACTTTTAACTTACTATCGTACTGTGTGAGAGCAGTTTTTAGGCTTCTTGTGTACACAGAAATACATAGCAAGATTAACATTTTAAATATAAAAGCAGGCTTACTTCAATGATGCTCTTTAGTCATGAAAGCTTTGTTAACCCAGATGCTTATCACAGTGTTGGAAATTGCTTTCAAGCATATGTATGGTGTATACGTGTGTTCTCTGTGTTTGGTTTGTTGTTTTTGTTTGTGGTTTTTTAGTACATACTTGGCATAGTTATAAACAGTAATTACAGCTGTTCAGGAATTGAGCTAAAATCCTTTCTGCTTATTGTGGCTTTTAAGGATACAGGAGTTAGAGGAGATCAGACACCTTCAATAACTTCCAAACACTGCCTTACACTCAATTGTTACTGTATTTCTGGATGTCTTTTTTTATATTTTTGTAGATGGGGTTAGTAAGAGTGAGGCTTAAGGTGCAAAAAAAGATCCCAAGACAGAAATCATACTAATTAATCAGTTGGGGATTTTTACAGCACAACACAACTGTTAAAAAAAACCCCAAAACTAAAAATATGCATGTACCTTTGTATTAACTAAATGTTTGACTTACTGTATATATTCTACCTGACAGAAAAGTTTTCTGAAAATGTCATCTGAAAAAAATTGACTTGTTAACAATATTTTGTTAAAATAGATGCAGGACCATTGATAGCTGGCTGATAAAACAAGATAGCATACTTAACAGCCATCACATTTTTCTATCCAGGGGGTTTGAAGTATGTAGGACTTCAACTGAAATCAATAATACAAAGTTTTTGGGTCTTGTGTTCTTACCATTTGGAAGCTTATTTTCTTACTACTTAATGATAGTGTCCTTACTGTCATGCATATTTTCTGGATACACAAGGACCTGTGATGCTTAGTGAACACAAGAGAAGCAGAAATAATTTAGACTGGGAAGCAGAACTGCAAAACTGCAAACACATGTGAATTAGGCAATGTCAAGTAAATCTTCTCTAGGCAATACAACATAAAGGATGATCTACAAATAGGTTACTTGATTTCAGAGTAAAAAATGGTGTAGTGGTTATATTAGCGATATAAAAATAAGTATCGAACATTTATCTTTCATTAAGTTTTAGCTCTTTAGGGCTTAGAAGTATAGAAAAAACCCTCTGTTGGATCTGTGTTTGTCTCAAGACTCTGATTTGGAGTGCCTGTGATTCTTGTTGCAGAGAGTGAAATAGGGTTCCTATGCACTAATGGTAATTTATTTAGTACTGTAGTGGTTTGGTCCCTGGCTGTATTATCTTTGCTTTCTACCCTCGAAATGTGGTTTTCCATTCCCACTGATGCTATTCTTCAAGCAGTGTCATCTTCCCCTGAATTTATTTATTGTTGTTTTTTTCTTCATTCTTGATGTTAGGAACCTGAAATTGCATTAATACTCTCCTAAGTTACAGAATGTCAAGCATGTTTGCAGAGATTTTGTAGGGGCTATGATGATGTGTGCTGTTGTATTTTTCAAATGAATTCAGCAACGTAAAGAGAAATGGAACACTGGAAATATTTATGAAATGGAAATTTGAAATGTTTATTGTAGAAATCATTCTTTCTCTAGCTTTAGGAGGAGTAATGGTGCAAAGTCAATTCACAGCAAAGGCCAACAGCCTCCTGGGCTTACAAACAGGAGCACAGCCAGTGGATTGAGGGAACTGATTATCCCCTTGTACTCAGCACTTGTTAGACAACATCTATGATAACTGTGTCAGTTTTTGGCTTCGCCAGTACAAGACAGACAGTGATCAACTGGAGCAAGTTTAGTGAAGTGTCAGTGAGGTGGTTGTGAACTCTGGAGCACCTGCCTGGAGAGGAGAGGCTGAGGGAGCTGGCTTTGTTCAGCTTAGAGGAGAATGGCTTTCAGGGGTCCTAAGAGCAGCCTGCCAGTACCTATGAGGAGAGTATCCAGGGGATGGATCCTGGCTCTTTCTGGCAGTGCATTGTGGGAGGACAAGAAAGAGACAACAGGCAAAAATGGAACCACACAAGGTTCCGACTGTGTATTAGGAGAAACCTTTTCCCCATGAACAGTGCGGGGCGTTGCAGCAGGTTGTCCAGAGATGTTTGCAGAGATTCGCTTGGAGGTTTTCAAGGCCCAACTGGATAAAGCCCTGAGCAACTTTGTCTGATCTCAGAGCTAACCCTACCTGTAGCAGAAGGTTGTACTAGGGACCTCTCAGCCTGAATTCCTTTATGATTCCGTGCAATCTAATCTTGACTCATCTTAATTTCAGTATTTCAAAGTTTATCTCTCATTCTCTTTAGCAAGAATCATTGACTTATAAAAGGTAGTCTTTAATAAATAAAGTCATTATGGACTGCTTCTTCATATTGCTGGAAAGGCGCGTGGTGTTTGGAAGGAGTTCTGATTGCAGTGTCAGGGGTTGAGATCAGTGTTGACCAGGCACACAATCAGAAGAGTAAACAGACGAAAGGCAAAAACCTAAAAGCCAAAAAAAGACAGGTGTATATTCATGTCTTACTAAGTGTATTTTTTAAGTGTATACTTCCATGTAAGGAAGAAGAACTGAAAACCATGTAGGCAAAAGCACCTTATACTTGAAATCCCCGTAGATCTAGGCATGACCTAAGAAAAATAGCTTTTGCTGTTAAACAGCTGTCATTACATTGGTCTTTCCTTGGTCATGAAAGCAGTTTGCCAGATGGAAGATAGGGATGCGAGTAGAGCAAGTTGTAGTAAAAGCACTAAGAATTTCATAACTCCATGTCATTTAGGATATTAATATAAACCACCTAGTCCCATTTTCCTTGGTTATGTTACTGTAAGGCCCATCTGAAATCACAAAGTTGTTATGTATAATTGTGTATATCATAAAATAGTTTTATTAATATTATTTCAGTTACTCTGTTTCAATCCTGCATTTTTCTTTTGTTTTCTCCAGAGCTCTGGAGCTTCAGCCATTTTCCCTTAAGCCTCTTCTACGACGAGCAATGGCAAATGAGTCTATGGAGCGGTATCGACAGGCATACGTTGATTATAAAACAGTCCTACAAATAGACAGCAGCATCCAAGCAGCAAATGATAGTGCTAATAGGTAACTCCACCTACGAATTTTCTGATACGAGTCCAAATAGAAAAGTAGAATTCAGTTTTGTTTGGTTTACATTGCTCCCTCTGTTCTGTATCCCTCAGAGGCAGGGTTGTCACTAGTGCATTATAACTATAGGTCTGGCTGTTTCATTCAGTTGTTTTCCCATAGCTTCACAGTTTTCCTCTGCCAGCAGTAGGTCGCTTTCTGTTTTAAAAATGTAATATTTTATAGGCTCTTTTTTCCTGGTGCTTCAACTTGTTTTCTTTCCTAACTTGTATTTGATACCACATAAAGTTATATTTTAGAGTCCATACCTTTTCTCCGACATTGTTTCCTTTTCATATTAGCAGTCTTCCTGTGGTAATTGGAGATTTATGTTAAGTGTGAAAGCTTCAGTATGCTGCCATTGTAGAAACGCTGAAGTAGCTTGATACAGTGGTCAGATACAAAGCTTAGAGATGTAAAAAATATAATTGAATGTTATTTTTAACTTAAGTGTTAATACTTCCAACATTAATTCTTGCTGCCAAGAGAGACATCTCAATTTCTATAATTATATTTTAATAGTGTAAAATTAGTGTATACACACTATTGTAATAGTGTTATCATTAGCATATAGTAAGTACTTAAGTGCATGAATGATAGGATTGTCCATTCCCTTTTCTTCTCTTTTTTCTTTTAATGGGAAAAAAAAGTATTTATGAAAGCAGAACAGCCATTAATCAATCATTGAGCAGGAACCCACATGCATGAGACTTTTAACAATGGAATCTAGTACCTTTTTTCTTTTTAAGGCAAGGCCATGAGCACTTACATTATTACTTCATTTAAAAATCCATAATATCTTTAAATTCCGCTTATTTGACCAGAGGTGGCCAAAGGAGATGACACTTTATCACCTCCTCTTAGAAGTGTTATTTTTGATAACACAACAAATCGTTACTGATCTCCTGTATCTACACCAATAATAGAGCACTTGGATTGGTGAGATAACTGCTCGTCCTGGTATCTGTGTGATTATTATACCTTTTTAAAATCTTCTTGGCTTATTTTATCTGCAGATACTCTTTTCATATTTCTCCTTGACTTGTAACTTGCTTAGTAATAAGCTTATTTCCCTTTTTCCCCTTAACACTCTTCCTTTTCTCCTCTCTAGGCCTTCCTTATGTTTTTAGCTTCACTGCTCATTACTCTTTCCTCCCTGGCAACCCATCACCTTATTTCAGCTGCTTCTTCCTTCTTCTCTTCTGCTGGTAATTCATTTTTGCTTGCAAATTCTTAGTTTCTAAAACATAAACCTCCTGCATAATTGAACTTTTACTATAATTTATTTTTAAATATTTTATCATTTATGAATTAAACTGAAATTGTTTACGGAAGTATTCATTTTTATTTCCAAAGTAGCAGACCTTCTAAAAAAAAGAATTTTAACAAAAAATTATAGTTCCTCTACTGCCTTTTAACTTAAAGGGACAACCCCAAAATGTAATTTAATTTTTTTTATATTAGGAATATCAGGTCTTAACAACTGGCTGTTATTGGAGGATTTCTTTGTTTTTAAGTTCCTGCAGGAAATCGGTGGTGCTGTAGGAAGCTGACAGGAAAAACTTATAATCCTACTTGTGTCTGAGGGTGGGTTTGGTAAATTGTGTTAAGCCTTGTCTTTCTCTACTTACCTAACAAAGCAGCCTTTCCAGAAATCTTAGAATCGAATGGGTGTTCAGTCTGATATTTTTGCTAATTCTCACACAAAAGGCAAGTAGAATTTTTCATATAAGGCCTTTACCTGATAATATAAAGACTTTACCTGGTCATTTTGCAATCAAAATGAAACAATTAAGAACATAAGTACATATTTTTATGAAATGTCAAGTGAAAACAAGCATAAACACTTATTTGAGTGTTTATAATGTTGATTAGATGATATTGAGTTGTGTCTTTTATTGGTTATCCTGAGGTGATTTTTAGATAAATTGGAAGGACTATTTCTTTTAATGGTGTGTGCCAAATCACAGGAAAATACATTTCAAACACACTTTTAATTAATAGCATTTTCCTAGCTTTGTGAACATCAATGAATTTCCTACTTTGTGTATTTTAATTTCCTCTTGAGTGAGTGCTTTATTACTTGCTTTTCACTGTTTGAAATACAGAAGCTCTAATGTGGGGCAATATGTTTATGCATTTCCATTTACTAAATTCAAGGTTCATTCCAGTTGTCTTAACTCCTTTAATATCAGGTAGCAAATTGCATTAGATAGCTTGGGAGCTTTTATTACAAAGTCCAGTATGAGTATTGTACTGTACAAATACATTTGTGATAAACTCCAAAGTGCAGGGTTGTTGGGTCAAGTTAGGGTGTTGGTGGTGGGGAATGAGTGTATTTGTCCCAGCTTTTTCATTAAATACCCATGCTATTTAAACTAACCATGACACACAGGTATGCATTTTTACAAAAGGCTATGCTTAGATTATTATATTACAAGAAGTCAGTTGATTGTCAAATACTACAGGATTCTCTCTGTTGATTTTGATGAATTAGATGAGGTTTTTTCTCCCAACTTTTTAAGCCCATTATGATAAAAGGCAAAAAATTAAACAGGAAGTCAATGGGACCGTGGTTTACTGTAGAATTATTCTGTTACTTTCTATGGGAAGTACCTAAACGTAATGAATTGACTTTTTAATATGAAGGGCACAGTTTTGTTCTCTGATAAAATAACCTGAGTAAATCTTAGGGCCGTTTAATTTATGATGGTGTGCCACATTTTTCTTAACAATTGAATTCAGGCTATCATTAAAAACCTAAAGTTTTAGTAAAATTAGAGCAAAAGAGAACTTGGACAAGCTGCTTTGTTGGTATGTCCTTTAAAATACTGCTTAGGACTGATACAGGTAGAGGAGGGCCCCTGAAAGGGCATATGTAGCTAACACATAAACAAATACTCTTCTTGTTCTCTTAGAAAACAAATAAAGCAACTAGATAATAATGCAAAATGTGATACTGCGTATATGAGGAATTTTACTTTCAATTAAAAAATACAAGAAATGGTATGTTTCATGCAGCATTATGTAATACATAAAATCACACGTTATATAGCTCTACAGACAGCCTTTTTAAGTTTATATTCTTTAATTTTTTTTTTGTAATTTCTGTTTTACAATAAAGAAGATTAGAATAGGTGCTGCTTCTTGTACTGGTTTTTCTATCAGACCCTAATGGAAAAGAATTTGGTCCTGAGTGCTCTGACTCTGTTGCCATAGTATTATACCAAAGCTTTTTTGTTGTTGTTTTATGGCTGCTATTCAAATATTTAAAAAGAACAGAACTATGCAAGAAAACTTGATTGTGTAATTTATGCTCATTCCATCTCATTCTTCATGTCACATTCAAGGGTCTTAATTTATTTTTTTTGTATGTGTATTCATGTAGTATGTTTTTTACACCTGTGTTAGATGGAAATGCACCTAATATGCAAATTTCAGGTTTATTGGCTATAGTATCAATGTGACTTCCTTTGCTACTCAATTCAGAATTTTCCTTTGTTAAAGCAGATATTAGGCTTATCACCAGTTGAACTTGACTCTTAAACTTATTTTGAGATTATAAGGCGTTTATCTCACTATTATTCTCATAATTGATTAATACTTGTTTGTCAGTTTTTTGGTTTTTTTTTTTTTTTTTTTAATTGTAATGGAACCATAAAGTCTTGTATGGCTTTACTCATTATAGTTACTTATGTCTTTCTTCAAAATGTATCACAGCAATAGGAAACCCTCACTTGAATGGATTTTGGATTGAAATACCTACAGGAGTAGTTGACCTATATATATATGTGTTGAAATATATTGAAATATGTACAGAAATAGTTGACCTATATATATATATATGTGTTTGTTTAAGAAAGACTAAACAGTTTTTATATATGTTCTTTGCATTTTTAAATGGGGATAAAGAATGATTGATTGATAATTTCTGACTGTTCTGCAAAATGCAACTTAATACCTGCTTTGTGACCTGCGTTGGTTATTTAGAGAATTGTTGTGCAAGAGGTTTCATTAGACATTGGCAAATTTAGGTATCACACTTTGGCTGAGGATATTGTAATCTTGTTACAAATAACACTTATGAATAGCTGAGAAAAGTAAACTAAATACATCAGGTTTTTTTCCTATTTCTTTATTGCATGTGGTAGGCAGCATTTAAAGCCTAGTTGCAAAATCAGTCATTTGCTTAAATACTTACAGATCATGCTGAAGTCAGCTTCCTGTCTTCTAAATGCTAGCATATTCTAAATAAAGTGGAAAAAATCTAAATCTTAAATGTGCGCAATACCATTGACTGCTGTGACAATCTTTTTTTAAATTAGTCTCAAGGATAATTGTTCAGTTGTTTTTTGAAAAATTGGAGCATTGCATTATTTAATTTGGGTGTAAGTTATTAAAGTGTGAGTTGAATATATGAAAAGTCACGTTGGTGCGGCTTTTTCTCTTTCAGGATAACAAAGACTTTAATTGATCAAGATGGTCCCAGTTGGAGGGAGAAACTGCCACCAATTCCAGTTGTCCCAGTTGCTGCTCAGCTACACAGGTGGGATGGAGGAAACTTTACTTCAGAGAATAAGCCAAGAAGTACTACAGATGTCAACAGAGAAGAACAGTTGCAGATGAATCGTATGTATAGCTAATGCAAATATATATAAAAAATATATAATCGAAAAATGGAATACAATTTAATAATGTCAGAGAAACTGCTTTAGAAAATACTTATCAGAGACCTTTGTGAAAAGCCAAGTCAGATGATGGTCATTTAGATGATTGGGTTTAATGTGCTTTAGGGAGCCACAGTTATGATAAATTTTTTTAAGCCAAGTCATGTGGTTTGTAGCATGTAATTTCTGAAGTCATATACAATAAAAGAAAATACAGAAGAAATACTCATCAGCAGTATATTGAGTCCTGTCACAAGAATCAGTAGTTGCCCTGACATAATACTACGATAATAATACGGTTTTCCCCCCCAAAAACGCCACCCAAACAAACACCCAACCTGAATAATCAGCTGCATAATCTGTAGCTGTCGCTTAATTGTTCATGAAAGCATTACTCAGCTCTTCAGAATAGAAAGGGTAGACTTGTAGGTGGCCAGTAGTTAATGAAATAGGCTATAGAAGAACACTTCTGATTGTTTAATATTTTTTTTTTACGATGGATTCTAATTTTGACAGGGGCCATTTAATAGTCACCTGTCAAAGATGTTAGTTCTGGACTTATTTACACATAAGCACTGAGTGTTTAACTCCTTTAGGACACTTTTTCCTCCTGATTTTTTTCCCTTCATTGCAGTTTCCTTTTTTCTCCTCCAGTAAATCAGGTGAGGGAACCTTTCTGATTTGGTTTTCATTGACATTAAACATTCTTTTTGCAAAGGCCTTAACTGTATGATTTTTCACTCAACTATTAATTGGTTCCCCTTTGAGTTTATTTTAATATAAAGAAAAGTAGGGCTGAAGATAATCTCCCCTTGATTAACACAGAGGAGGCTGCAATGCATAAGCAGGTTGCTGGCCGAATATGTAGCAGTGACAGGGGTATCTGTCCATAATACATTACTGCAATAACACATGTCCTCAAATAATCTGCACTCTTGGGCACTACGGATTTAATGACTTTAAAATGATCTTTCAGATAGCATTGATTTATTTGTACCCGATGTAAAACAACCAACAACTTATAAATACGTACGAACTGGACATTTTTTTTCAAGAATAAGGTGTAGTTCTAGAAATTTGTAATAGTGTGGTTTATATATGATTTGAATAGTCGTGCATACTAAACTTCAGTAATGCTACAGAAAATTGTTTTTCATTTAAGAAACATGAGGCACGTTGATATATAATTTAAGCTCAATTAAGTTGATAAAAATTTTACTCTACTTTTTCAAATGTCCAGTGACAAGTATTTTCATTACAGTTGTTGTCAGCACATGTCATTACTGATTTATGACTCTTAAGGATTGGGCAGCAATTGGGTTTAACTTTTTGGTTTTTTGAAAATTAAGTAGAAATCTGATACCTTGCACAATTGTTGATACTAAACATAAATGCTTAGCTTGAAAAGTGCTTTCTGTTATACTGGTTGTACTCCAGGGTTTTTCTGTTACTAAAGAATACAACCTGTTGGATTTTTTATTGCAATGTATAACCAACGTATTTAAACCTTTTAAGTAGCAAATTTGGATCTATATAACCTTGTGTAACTTTGTTAAGAGAGAGAATTTGAAGATCATCATAGTGAAAAGTACACAGATAAGCAGCTTCTGAGAACACTAGTGATCATGTTTAGCCTGTTATGCAAGTTAACGAAACTGGCCATCACTGTCTTCATGAAGTGCGTTCTGCGGCATTTTGATGAAAAACACATCTCAATCCATTTCAGATAGGGTGGGCTTTGGTTAGGCTTTGTTTTTAGAAATACTAAATGAGGACTGTGTAACCGTTTTCTTCACTGAAGGCTGACTCTAAGGTTGTGATTGCCTCTTCGGTCGGGCCTGTACCAAATCAGTGGGACCCGACAGTCATAGCTGGTGCCAGAGGTGTGCCAGCAATGATGTTCAGTCAGTAGTTAAACCTTACTGTTGGCTGATGCTTTTCTGCAACAATTGTCTCTTGGTTTTTGTGTCTTGCAACTTGAGTTATGATTTAGTTGTGTTTCTTGCATAAGGCTGTTCTGGTTTCACATTGTTACTTAATTTTTTCCCCAAGTCCGCATGTAGTTTTCTGGCAGAGAAGACTGCCATGTGTTTATAAAAGAACTCACTGAGTTTAATTACTGGTTAAAATTATCTGGTTATGTACAGTGTTTAAAACCTGAATCTTGGCAAGGGGCTCATATTCTTCAGCAAGGTAAAATAAGTAGATTTTTCCATTATGATTTACTTAGAGCTACGTTACTAATTATTGTTTGCTCACAACAGAGACATGAAACTGCAGTCAGGATTGGTTTTCCACTGCAAACATAGCTAAAAATTGTAGTCTAACCCAGAAGCGTGTGCAACAAATGTGGAGTTCAGAAGGAAAGACAATTATGGAAGAACACAATATTGATAAAAAAGTATAGTTAGGTGTTTTCAGGTTCCTCAAAGCATCTTTTATAAATAGCTATTAACAGAATATTACTGATGTATCACTAGCCCCTACTGATGTGACGATTTGTTTGTCATTGTCAGTTTAGCATAGTAATTGTGATAGATAGTTGCTTGCAGAAAGAATATTAGATCAAATTACAGCTGCCTTGGCGTGATGGTGGAGATCTAGAAGGCCTTTAATCCTGCTGATTAAATCTCCACCAGTGTAAATGCAACTGGTATCTCAGTGGTGATACATAGTCCCTTTCTACCACACAGAAGGGGTAGACAGGAGGTGAAAGCGTAGAGCTCTCTGTTGCATGCCATTATTTTCAGCAAAATAGTTACCCTGGTGCATGGGGAAGTATGTGTTGTCCCAAATGTAGATACGGTAGTTTATGCCTTTCTTAGAGCAGCAGGGAGATCTGAGACAGAAATGGCAATGTGTAGACCAATAAAGATACTCCCGTTGCCAGGCTTTTATTCTTAGTCTGGGTAGATTATTCAGCTACCCTCAATGAACTGACCTTCTTATGTAACACTGTGATCCTTTTGTAATGTAGGTGAGAAAGCTGAGGAGAAGTTCAAGACATTAAAAAATGAAGGGAATGATTTTGTAAAAAAGGGTAAATATGAAGAAGCTGTAAATAAATACAGTGAATGCATGAAGTTAAATAACGAGGAATGTACGATCTACACTAACAGGTAAAAGATCCAAAATCTAACCCTGCCTTGTGGGATAACAGTAGTTATACTTTCTCACTGCAAATAGAGATTTTGCATCCCTTCAGTCACTGTTGTAAAAAAAGGACTTTTTTTGCCCACTTGATGAGTGTTTCTAATAACAAAATTGATTTTTTGTTAAACTGTGTTATTTTCCAAGGGGAGCAAGTATTGATGTCACTGATATATATCTTAAAATCTTTATATAAATAGAGTAAGCCATAATAAAAGTTATAATTAGCATAGCATTTTGCAGCATTTTTTGAGAATGCTGGTATGATTTTAATTAAAAACTAACATGTAGTAGCAGTATCTCAGATATGAAGAGTAATAATTCAGAGAAAATGTACATTTTGAGAAAATGAAAGTAGGAACATGGTCATACAACAGCATTATTTTAAAGGTTGACCTAATTCTGCAGCATAATTCTTTATGATGTAATCTTATCAGCTTTCACAAACTAAGAAGGATTTGATTAGGCCAGTACTTGAATAGGAGACTTCCAAGTAATAATTAGGTGCAGAAAGCAGTATTGCTTATTTAATCTAGAGCACTTCTTTACCTAGAATGGCTGTATAAAATCCATACTATATCAACCACTATACTATCATATTATACTAATGTAGGCTCTGCTTTTAAAATACTTACATATCTGCCTAACTTCAAGCATTAGTCGTACTTGAATTTTGACTTTTATTGCAGGAATTGGCCCTCTCTAAATCCATCCAGTGATGTTATTAATACTTACTGGTTTTTATGTACTTTAAAAAATACCACATTGAGACTGAATTGTGTGAAGTATTGTAATTAACATTTATGAGTCAGATACTGTTGGCACTACAGCACTGTAGAATTTACTTATATTGCAGTGTATTCTGTTTTTCTGTGTTAGAGCTCTCTGTTACTTGAAACTGTATAAATATGAAGAGGCTAAGCAGGATTGTGATCATGTTCTTCAGATAGAAGATTCTAATATTAAAGCTTTTTATAGAAGAGCACTAGCGTACAAAGGATTACAGGTGAGGAAAAAGAACATGGCAGGTATTCTTAAGCACTTCTAAACTTGCTTATCCTCTTCAAAGGCAATCAGGTAGTTGCAGTCGATGGGAGAATACAAAGTATGCAGTGCTGATGATTTACTACTTTGTAGAGCATTAGGCATACATAAGATACTACATAAATATTTTTGCAACATAAAAACCTGCATGTTGACTTGTAATAATTTGAGAAAATACAAGAGTATTAGAATAAATGAGGTTTGACTGGAGATTGGTTAAGCAAGTTTCAACTCTGTTCTAATGTTCTAATATTCTTCTGGGTATCCCAGTCTGTTTTTTCTGTGAAGGTGTTTACTGTATCTTTGCTGATCACAAATGGATTCTCTCCAACTCCGTCTTCATCTGTCTAAACTAAAATCTCAGGTTGTCTTTTGGCATCTGCTCATATTTGAGTGCTTGTCATATTAAACCAGGGTTTTAATTATCTTCGTTTTCTCGCTCTTCCTTCCCCAAACACATTACGAACCTTTGTCAGTATTCTACTTACTCTGTGGACAGTGTCGGTGCTCAGACTTTTCCTTTCTATCTACACAGTGGTGGTGTTGTCTGTACTGTGCTCATGTTACACAGTTTTTTGAGTATCCTTGTACCTGATCGTCATAAATGCAGACTTACATTGCTCATATCTATCCTGAATGTGACTGCAAATCTCATGTTCCATCACTTGAACCATGTTGTTCCTTTTGTCCATCCTCTCTGTTGGTTCCCCTTCTTCAATGATGTTAATTAGCCTCTATACTTCATAATTCTTTCATAGCAATCCTTATCCTACCTGTCAGCTCTTACCTGGTATTAAATTATCAGCTTCTCACTTCTGTTGCCTCATGATGGCAGCTATCATCATCTACTTCATATTAAATTTTACAAGTGTCTTTAAACAAGAATCTTAAGTGCTTTCTCCCATGTTGCTCTTTATAACTGGAGGTGATGACTCAAGCATCCACCAAGTTTCAGCAGTGTCCATCAAATGAATACTTATCGCAGACCTCCAGTATGTCTGATGCCTTAACAAAAAATTACCTGATTGTCTCAGCTTACAAATCAACAGAGGGCAACCTCTTTGTGTTTAGCAATATACTAGCCTATTCTCATCCCATGTTACAATCCAAATGGAAGTCATAGGAACCATGGGATCTTTTGTTTGTGATAAATTTGTTCCTCTGTTACAGTAGTTATGAAATTTTGAAAGTTGGCTTTGATTAATTTTCAGAGAAGGTGAAAAGTCTTTTATTTTGTGTAAAATCTTTTCTGTAACTGCAGCAAGCTATCTGGTATTAATCATCTGAAACCTTATGTTGTTGAAGTTGATAAAAAATTAGTATAAATATAAGCAAAGGTATATAGTGATTCTACCAGTCAAAAAAAGGGAATTACACACTAGTGAAGAATGTCAAGAATTGGAGAAATAACTTCTGCTTTTTTGAATATCTTAGAAAAAATGCTATTTTTCAATTACTGAAGACACAACCTGAAACACACTTTTCACAGATTCCTTCAGAACAGTCTGAGCTGGGGACTCCCAAAATGTTTTGTTGTGGTTGGATTTAATGCCTTCGTTATTGCTAATTCCAGGGATATGAGCAATTTGTAAAACCAGAGAAAGCAACAGAAGTGATTGGAGGTTGACATATGACTCTCTAATGAAAAATTTTAAGAGCTAGAGGCATGTAGTTTGGCAAAGACCTAACTAAGCTGGGAAATGTTATTTGTATATAAATATCCTGATACTTAACCACAAAAGCTGCAGTGGAATTTAATGTGGTAAATGACATTTATTTATAGAGGTACTGAGATGTAGTTAAGGGAAGATCAGGAAAAAATCGTGCTTCTGTGATGTGTTAGGCCTGTAACATAGGACACAGGACCCTGGACCACACCTCTTACAGCCTCTTGCTTTGGGTACAAACAACTTGTATGATTTTTGTTGGCCTGGCAGGCTGCACTTTTAAATCCAGGAACGTTGGTTGGTTGCTGACCCTTGTGATCGTTTTCAGAAGTCTGTTCCAGAATCTCATTTCTCTGTAGTTGTGAATCTTCACATCTGTAATTCAAATGATTTAGCTTAATTAGTAGCTGTTCCCTGATGAAAGCAATCTGCCCCCTTTCTGCATACATTTGCTGAGGCTAAATAATTCTAGTTCTCTTACTCTTCTTTCATGATGTAGCAGACTTCAGTTCATTTACAGACTCACTGCAGTGTCTCTGCACCTTGAATACTGGTCACCAGTATTGAACAAAATATTCCGTGTGGGAAAGAGAATATGAGTGACTTGTACACTGGTGCTTTTATTACAGTTGGGATGCTGAGGAAGTACCTCAGCAGGTACCTGAGGATTTTTTTCATGATAATATGAATGACTTGCAGTAACCTTATGATACTGCTTGGGAACAGAAGAAATATTAGGTTCCTCACAGAAAGAAATTATGTTGATCTTTTACTGTTAACTGCTACATTTCATACTTATTTTTGATTATCCAGCCCTCAGAGTGTCTTGATTTTCCTGTGCGATGTTCCAGTCTTCCTCAGAATTAATGCTATTAACTTCATCAAATTTGAAATAGAAACATTTAAAAAAAACATTTAAAAAACATTTTAAAACATTTTAATAAAAACAAATGACAAGACTGATTACTGAGAAACTGTGTCCTAGTGCCACTCTGTGGATGTGTTTGTCCTTCTAATGCTGTTTATCCCAGAGTTCATAACATAATTCAAATCTTCTCAGGTATTACCAAAAATTTCCTTTCTCAAACTGCAAGAGATGGTCTGTTGGATTGAAGCCCAGGAAGATTAGATATATTTTTAATCTAAGCTTACTTTAACTCTCTTTTATGGGCAAAGCAAGTACACAGACTGTTGATGGACTCACATTATATTAATCTTGAAGAAGTGTTACACTGCAAGCAATTATACCTAAAAGCAGCAATCTTCAATAATCTATTCTCTGATACAGGGAATATGTTTCTCAGAATAAATTATTTCATATTACATATTTAATACAGAAGTACTTAGTCGCAGAAGACTAACTCAGACTCATCCTCGGCTTTCTTTTTTCCCTCTAATGAAATTACACTGTCTGTATTTAGATTATTTTTGTCTACTTAATGTCAAGATCCTAGCATTTTCATTTTTCTTAATTGTAAAGGACAGTATGGTAGTTCAAATTTATTTTTCTAGTGGTGTGCTTATGAAAAAATTATTTTCCCTTCTAATTACAGAATTATCAAGCCAGTGTTGATGATTTCAACAGAGTACTTCTAATAGATCCAAATGTTCTTGAAGCAAAAAAGGAACTAGAGGAGGTAACCCAACTGCTTAACCTTGACAGCAGTGCTGTAGCTGGCAGTCAACAAAAGCAAAGGAAGAAAATAACCATACAAGAGGTATACCTGTTCATTTTTAAAAGCAGACAGTACAGAAGCCACAAATTTGAGGAGATAATATTAAAGCTTTTGTTTTGCACTTCTTAGCTCTACAGTTTTTTGGGGTGGGGTTGTATTTTACATATTTTGAGGGCAATGGGAAGGTTCTTGCATATGATATGTTCAGTGTCCATTACATTCTATAGTAAAGCTTGGACTGCTTTGAAGTGTATTCCGAACCACAGCAGAAATGGAAAAAGTACATTTAGATAGCACTAAACTTGAGGATATGCTCCTTGTAAACAAAAACTGCTGAGACTTTGAAATACCTTGAAATACAGAATGCAGCTGTCAAATAGCAGTTTTGTTTTTAAAGCCTGTGCTACTCGGGAAGCCTGTGGGGCTGTGCTGGCAAAGGTTCATTGTCAGCAGGCGTGCTGGCTGTTCTTGTGCTAGTAGTAAAGTTACTGGTCTGAGGAATGAAATCCTACCTTAAAGGGCAGGAGTATGGATAAAACATCTGCAGGATCTTATAAAGAAATATGTGATGTAATGTTATGTACTGGATCAAAATGTGAGCCTTGCAGAGTGCTGGGTAGAATTAGGCGATGAAAGGATTTTCTCAGTCATCTGATATTTTTGGATTGTAGCTTTGCTAGTCCTTTAAGAATGTTGGGGGTTTTTTCCCTTTTCATTTTACAATATATAGTTAAAACACATAGTTACCAGTCTGTACAGTGATACTGTAATTTGATAATGTAATTTCAAAATGGTGGTATAATGGAAACTGCAGTTATTAATACAGAAGCATTTTGTTTTATTGAAACACTTCACATTGTCACGAGTTCATGGGATTTTATGTAACTGGTGTAAGCCGGGTATACTGTTAGTTAAGCTCTGAGCTGTGACAAAGGCACCTGGAGAGTGTTTAGAGGAGGTTTGGGAAGTCACTGCATTGTTCAGAGACCAGCCAACTACATTACTGGCAGTGGTAATTTTTCCAGGGGTGGGGCAGGAAGCATTAATGTTTGCTATCATAATTACAGCTGCCCCCTTAGAGAGCCTTTCCTGTCTTATCTGCTATAGTACAAGGTAGTTCTATGAAAACAGACGGCAAAGAAAAGTAAGGAAACTTAGAAACTGGGATTTATCATTATTATTCCATTTTAATCAAGCTATAATTATATAAAAGGCAGTCAAGATTTCTCTCTTGATACTAAGGATTGTTGAAAAATAGAACAAAATGTCTATAAGCCCAATGCAGTCTTTTCCAAAAATGGCTAATCTAGCTAGCCTTTACTATGCAATACTGTGTCTTCAGACTTCCTGAAAAACTTGGCATCCTTTGAGGAGACCCCATTCAATGAGTTTTAGTCAGTTTATACTAATTCCACAACTCTTGGTAGCTTGAAATAGATTTTAGCAAATGTAGTTGAACCCATGGTTAATTTTCTAGCGACTGATTCATGAAACTTGATGCAGGCTGCAAACCGGAAGAAGTTAAGTGGGTGTGCAGGTAGTTAGACCATGCTGAGCTTCTCCTTTCACAGCAAGACTCCAAATGGCAACCTGATACAGCTACTGTATACCTGTACTATTCTGAAGGCCCAGCAGTGAAATGAAACATGGGTATCTATCTGGTGACTTGACTTCAGTTCTGCTTGTCTTCTGCAACTTCACATTTAATATATGTATACAGTCTTCCTTAGCTTTCTCCCAGTGGTCTTCAGTTGTCTTTCTACACTGGAGTGCCAAGCAGTGAAAGGAAATGTAAAATATGCACTTTTGACTACAAACCTTTAAAGATGAATTAGAGGTACTATTCTGGGGGGAAGCAGGACATAAAAGAACATAGGTGCCTTTCTTTTATGAAGAGTAAAATGCTAACTTTAATTTAGTGACGTTGTTGATGGATATATGCATGCAATTTGTGAAGCTTCAGGTTATCTCTGTGTCCACATTAAAATGATTTGTTGCCATTTTCTTTGTGAAGGTGGCTGAATGTGATGAACAGGAAGAGAGACAGTTTGCTACATCAGAAGATGTTGTGACTGATCATGTTACTTCTGAGGAAGCAGTTCAAAAGAGTGTGCGACTGAAGACCTCTAAGAAACTGCATATTTCTGAACCATCTAATGCTTACGACTTTGGTCAGATTATAAACGCAGTGAATAGCAATAAGGATAAAGCTGCTTGTGCAGATCTTTTAACAATTACTGATCCAAAAAAATTGCCAGTGCTGCTGAGTAACAAACTTGAAGGAGAAATGTTTTTGATTTTTATCCAGTCGTTGGAGTGTTATATAGTTGGAAAAGATCCTGGCCTTGTATATCAGCACCTTTTCTACTTGAGCAAAGTAGAAAGATTTAAGGTAAGAACCTAGATTGAATGTGTACTTAAGTTGCACAGAAACCTAAAGGAAATTTTCCTATCTTAAAAGGAAATGATACACTGATTTTCTATCTCTGTCAAATGCTATGATTTTTGATCAACCTGTGCTAATTATAAAATAATCTGTTTTTCAGGTGGTGCTGGCCCTTCTTAGCAAAAATGAAAAAAACCAGGTTCAGCAACTATTTGACTTGCTTTCAGAAAACCAGAATAATCAGTACTCTTTGGAAGACCTTGAGAGCCTTAAAAAGGTTTATGAACTTTAAGAAGTTAAAATTTATTGGTTGCATGCATGTAGTTCGTGTTTATAAGATGGATGTGTGAACTCTGTAGACTTGCATGGGTTGAAGTGGGTCTTCACCCAGACTGTTTGAGTTCTATTTTGTTTTGACAGCATATGCACATTTAAAACTTGCTGCTCTTTTTTTTCTTATAGTTGTATACATGTTTAATCTCTAGAATTTAATGCATGTCTTTGTGTTCAGTAACAAAGTTCATGTTACTTGGCAATACTGATTTTATTTAGGCTGTGTTAATTATATAAAAATATATTTTACGCTATATATATAATGTAAAATATCTTTATGGTACAATAGATAATACACTTTTACTCATCACTTGTTATATCATTTTGTGAGTTGTATCTTCTTGTGATAAAGAAGTGTAAGTGTCTTCAAGATAAACGGGTCAGCAATAGCTTTGCTAAAATGAGTTTACAAAAAGTGTTAAATTTTTTAGGTAAACTACTACAGGCCATCTGTTTCTTCACTATCCCTGGTCTATACAAAACAGATTTAAGTATTTTTGGTGCAATACAGCTTAGCAGCAAAGGTGAATGACTAATATATTAGCTTGCCATGAAACACTTTGAATCAAAATAATTAATTATTAAATAAATGGGTATGTTTTTAAAATGATTAAGAAGGGAGTAATTTTTAGTGCACAGAGAATTAGTTTTTTTCTGTGTGCGTGGAAGGACTGCTGGTTTGTGTGGCTTTTGAAGTGACTGTGGTAAACAGGAGAACAAGTGGCTGTACTTAGCAATAAAAATATTTAAGTCTTGAGTTTTGTAATCAGATTATTTAAAACACCAGCTATTTCTGTTTACAGACATATATATAAAGCTAAAAGTAAACCCATTTTGTGGACGAGGGTGACTTATTTTTTTCTTATTTCAGGCAGTACTTATGTTTTATATTTGATTCTGACAAAGCTCCTTTTTTCAAGATGAAGCTTTTAAATTTTTCAAATACCCCAATGCCTTCTTTGCACACACGATATAAATTTATATCTAACTCACTAGCACTGCAGAAATATCATTAAGAATGTTGTTCTAATGAAGATTTTTCTCAGGTGTATATTAATTAAAAAAATAAAGTTTTTTTCTTGAAAAGTACAATTACGGATTCTTTTTTCTGCTTCTACACACTTTAGGCTTGTAATTCTGACATGTGGATTATGAGTTTTGTCTTGAAGTAGAGTGCCAAGAATGAGGCTTTTAATTCTGAAAGCACTGTCAGTACAAGTTATGTTTTTTGTTTTTAAATGTCCTCTTTTTATGAGATTGTCATGTGTTCAGGAGAGATCTATTGCTCATCTCATCTATGCCTAACCAATTGTACTTAGCCAACAAAATGCCAATGTCATTCTTCAATCATGGTGGCAAAGTATTCACATTCACTAATTTCTGTGTTAGCGATTTCAATGTTTTTATTTTTTTCCACTGCAATTTAGCATGTTCAGAGAGGATTCATTGTATGTGTGCAACTTACTGACACAGTTTAGAAAACTTAATTGATTTTCATGTATTAGAGTTCAGAGTGTTTTTAATAACAATAAGTTACAAGCTGGAGAATGTTATTAATAATACATGGATTAGGAAAAAGTTATTTTGCTAAAAGAAAGCATAAAAACCAGCTATGTAATTTTAAAATAGTCTTAGTTGCCTGAAAACTGCAGTTGAGTAAGAGCCAATGTCAAAAGCCACCACATCACAAAAGCTCTTGATGAAGTTAAATCAAGAACCAAAACAAAAACCCCAAAAAACCCCAAACCCCAAGCATTAAAAGCTGTTTAGGTATCTTCTAATCAGCAGTCTTGACTGCTAAACTTTGTATCTATCTCATTTGTACAGTTCGTTTTGACACTGAAGACAAAAATCAGAATCTGCAGCAGTAAATCATAATTAAAATATAATTTAGTAAATTTAGGAGACAATCAGACATTATAAAACAAAAAGGCTTTAAAAGACATGAGATTTTTAAATGGAGTTTTCTTAACTCATTTTAACTCATTTTTAAACTCATGATTTTCTTAAATAATTTTTTCCAAAGGAGATAGACAAATGGGTTTTCATGGCTGGGTATACAGTATGACAGTTAATTTTAGGGCAGTTTTAATCAAGCCCTAGTGATTAAACTAGAAACCTAAAAGTAGTCCTGTAGTCCAGGAAGATACCTTTTCTTGTTAATACCTTCCAGACTGAATGTCTGCTGAAACAGAGGTTAACTCAGTTGGAGGTAAAAATGACAGAGTTCAGCAGATCAGGGATCATCAAGCTCCAATTACCCCTTGTTAAGAAGTTCTGAATGGAGAACTGCAGCAATGTTTGCAAGCAGTTACCCAGCTGGTGGGAGGGAGTGACATGCCACCAGCTGCAAGCAGAGTTTTGTACCCACCTGTGTCTGACACCCCGGACTTGAAAAATCAGCACTTACCTGTGAAGTCCCTCATATTCCAAAGCACAGAGCTGATCATGAGTATGTCTCTCTTAAATAGACAGTAACAAGAGGGCGGGTTTTGCTAGAAAGTTTAAATTCTGCCCTAATGAAATACTCAGCAACGAGTGGGTTTTCACTTGCTGTGGTGTGTGATCTCTTCAGTTTAAGGCAGACCATAAGCTTTGGCTGGTTGAGTATTTAGACAACCCCCCAGCCTACCCCAAACACTCTTTGGCAGACAGATAGATAGCCGCCCTACTATAGCTTGACACTGATCTTGAACAATATTCCAGTATATTCCCAACCCTTGTCGCATACCAGGAGCTGCTTTTAAAAAAACTTTTAAGCTCATTCCAGTCCATGATCCCAAAGGGAGAAGATGCTTTCTTGAAGTCCTGCATTCCTGAAACTGCCGCCAGGCTGGGCATATGCTCTCGGCAGATCCTGGGCACCAGCCCCACTCTGGGAGATGTCGCGAATTTCCTCCAGTGCTGCCTTACGCGCCTCACTCCCAAGTGAACCTCTGAAGCAGAAGCCATTGAACAGTAATTGATGCAGTAATTGTGAATGCCCCGCTCCATGGGTAGCAGACCCCTAAAACTGTAGGTGCTAAACCTTTACTACATCTATTCTTTAAATATCAGGCCAGCTGTATTACCTGCAAATCTTTTCTATATCTGATGTTCCGCATGCCTGTGCCTCAACTAGGAAGTTCGGGCCTCACCTTTCAAAGTTAAAGAAATGTATTTTCAAAAAGTACAAGGGAATAATGAAGAAAGTGAAACATTTATTGTTTTAATAGCTGAAAGATGGAATCAAATAGTCAAATATATATTTCTTTAAAAAAAGAAAAAAGTTAGCAACTCTCAAATGTAAAAAAAAATGGTCCATGAAGCTGAGCAAAAAAATGAAAAAGTTTGACACGAGCTGTTCATCTGTAATGCCACCAGCACGCTAGCAGTACTTGCAGTCATTTTGGTGACGTTCCTGCCTCATTCAGATTTCACTGAGTTTGGCTACTTAGTTCAGACAGTATTTGGGAGGGCCTGACTGACAGGCAGAACATAGAGCTTACTTACAAAAAAATCAAATAACTTGTTAGGGACTGTACTGCTGATTTGGCCTGAACAGCTCAAGCCAAGACCACCAGGCTGCAAAACCTGCCCCTTTTGTGGGGCAGCTTTAGACCACTGAAAGTCATTCTTGGGGCATGGGGTGTCGGAGGGAATACTTTCAGGTGCTGAGTTCCTAAAACCACTTGTTCAGCAGGTAAGGGCTTCCTAAACGTCTCCCTCTTGGCTTAATCTGGGGAACCTCCTCAGAGCCAGAGGGAGAAATCCATGCAGCCCTGAATAGTTGCAGTGTAGCAGCAAATGCAGGATGAGCTGTCACAGATGACGTCCCTGGCCAGGCAACGCGGGCTGGCCTGTGCACAGAGGAGGCCGCAGCAGCATCCCGCTGCCTTTCGCGTGCGGCACTCGCGATGACCAGCCAAAGCGGCTCCTCACTCACCACGGGACCGACTGCGAAATCGGTTCTGCTTCCCCTGACCCTGTTGTGCTTACACCTCGCATCGTCAGCAGGAGAAGCCACAGAGCAGCTGAATTGCTGCTTTCCCCATGGCTGCGTCAGGAGCTCAGCTTTCCCAGGGCAGTCCCTGGCCCTGCCACTCCTGGTCTCTTTTTCCCCTCCCTGTTTTGAAACGCTTCTGTCTTTGATTGTCTCTGCTCTGCCCTCAGCATTTATTTATCATACTCTTTCATCTCTCTCTGCCCACCGTAAGCATCAGCTTTTCTGCTCGGTTGCCAGGTTGAGCTGCTCTGCCAGTCAAAAGTAAGAATATGGCTGTCCACTTCAATGCTGCAGCGGGTGGCTTTCTGCTTGGCGTCAGCGTAAATGCAGGGGCCCAGAAACAATAGAGTGCACAAAAGGGGGGCAAATCTGTTTTATTGGTACTGGGTTTTACATCCTTTGAAGAATAAAGCATTTCCTCTTTAGAAGAGGGCAAGAGAATCTCAAATGGCATACCTGACTTCGTGGCGGGGAGACCCAAATCGCAGCACGGTGTTACTGTCTCGGGTTTGTCACTCACCCCCTCAGCATTAATGTCCACCTTTTTAAAAACAAACAAAAGCCAAAAAAAACCCAAACCAAACCCAACAACACTACAAAAACCTGCTTCAGGAGGAGAACATTGTTTTTGCAGGTGATGGGAACAGGCAAGTGAAGTGTCATCCCAAAGTGGCACTAAGCTGGCCAGCCCGAACACAGCAAATGGCAGAGTGAAATACCCTGTATAGACAAGCTAACCAGGCTCGCAGTGACCGATTTGCTCCTGGATACAACTCCCTGTTTTTAACACGAGAGAGAGGGAGTTTCCTTCTGTAGGCACTGAAAAGAAGGCTAGTGGCTAGGGAACAGAGCATGCCAGGGAACAGGGAACGTGCACTGTTGTTATTTGCTCCCTTCAAAATATTTTTGAGATTTTTAGAGAAGATAGCTCCAGGTTGAACAGGTGCTGTCACCCAAAGGGCAACAGTAAGAGG